ATATATATATATATTTATATATATATATATATATATATATATATATATATATATATATATATATATATATATATATATATATATATATATATATATATATATATATATATATATATATATATATATATATATATATATATATATATATATATATATATATATATATATATATATATATATATATATATATATATATATATATATATATATATATATATATATATAAACTGTATAAATTATTAAAATTGAAACTAGCAAAATTCTATTAATTTAGCGAAATGTTCAATTATCGAACTAATAATTTACTTGTTTTCACCGTGTCGGAACTAGAAGAAATTATTATTTGAGGTTATTAACTTATTGAATATTAATTTATCGAGGTTTTACTGTAAATTAAATTACCCAAACTCTTAATTAATTATAACGTCTCCTTTTTTGGGTGGATATTTTCATCATACAGAAATATATATATATATATATAAGTTTACAAGTTTGATCATTGGGTTGAGATATTTTCAAAGTGAAACATATAATATGTAACACTATAAGTGATGATATAAGTTTTAAATTTATATAACATGTAATAAATCTATTAAAATTATTACAAAATCAAATGTTAATTATTAATTATGTGTCCAAAAAGTTTCATTGGCCGACATCACAATCTTAGGGTTGGGCCATGGAGATTCTATCCCTCTTTCTTAATTTGATCCTTCTCTATCTCAAAGTTCAAAAGCAAAATAGAAAGTTGAGTAACTTCTTGAAATAAAGCACATTCTTTTTGCTTGTGATTTATAAAACTTAAGGCATGCAAAAAGATGGCTCTATAAAATACATTTTTTTTAATTTTTTTTTTATTAATTTCCACTTTTATTAGAAAAAAAAATAATCTTATGATACACGTACCGGTAGAGATTTGAACCGTTGATTTCGAACGCCGCGTAAGCTAAAGCCTAATTAATGTTCTTAATCATATAGTTTAATTGTATATATATTTGCTTCATCTGATGTTACAATTTTATTTTCTATCTTGTATATAGCTCATTCAAGAAAGTAGCAAAGTACAAATTGCTTGGAATCGAATTATTCCAAGGTGATGATCGATATGGATTGATAAGAAATAATTAGTGCCGAAATGACTTCGAATTTATCCTCAATATCGATGCACTAACCGAACCTTGAGCATGCATGTCTAATCACTAGCAATATATATAGTAAGATGTGATAAATATCGTTTCAGTTTATAAATTAAAATTATTGCTTCAACTTCGAACGTGATTTTGATCATTTTTGTACAGAATTTTGGCAAAACTCAAAGCACAGAACGTGTTGTTCTTTGAGTTAGCTTTCTAATACAACATGAATCACCAAGATTGGATGTCGGGTAAGAGAGATATGCATAAATCAATGAGCAATGTCCGCAACTTTGATATTTTGAGTTATCTGCATTTCAAAATGTAATTTATTCATGCATAACTTTGTCATTGGACATTCAATCTAGCTGATTCAAGTTGGAATAAAAAACTAACTCGAATGACTATAGTTTCGTTATTGAATTATGCCATAATCAGACTAGAAAGCGGTCAAAATTCATCCGAATTTAAATCGGTATAATTAGTATGTATATGTGTGATTGTTTGTAAATTAAAAATAAAAATTATTGGATATATTAAAAAAAAGAAAAAAAAAGAAAAAGAAAAAAAAAGTGGTAGTGGTTTTCTTAAGTGGGATTCCTATATGTGCCACAAAACCATCTCCCATATGTAGACATGACTGATCGAAAGAAAGCCACACACAAAAAGACACGCACTAGATGGGGCAATGTGTGTTTCTTGATTGGCATTTGCCAAATTGCTTTTGAAGATGATCCAAATTTCATTAAATGCAAATCACTTTTATTTGCCAACTCAAATGTTTTTTTTTCTTCCATTAGTTTTATGGGATGGGATCCCACAAAGCCAGCTATATAAAAATTGATATACCTGCATAAATACAATACAATAATTGCTAGATAACCCCTCCTAAGTATTGTAGGGTACCATTTGAATTTAATTAGGGGTGTTTGTTGAGATGTTATATTGAAAAGGACAATTCTGTCATTATACTAATTAGAACCGATATTTAGGTACTAATTATCGTCAAAATTAGTTGGCTCTCCATGGTTTTCGATATACTTCTGAACAGTCTGTCTATAGTTTGCGTGCGCAAGGGTGTAAACTAAACGAGTGGAGACGAATGTATCAAATAATACTTTTATAATTTTTTTTTAGTTAATTTGATGTCACATGTTCAAATCAAGTAGGAATTGCCTTATAATGTGTGGAAATACTTGGGTTTTGATAAAACAAAAGGTTGAATGGAAAATCTTGGTATTTTTAATGAGGTTTTTGGGGTTCCATTTTCAATAGTTAGGCTTGAAAATTAAAGAGCTGTTCATTTTAATACTAAATTTGACTTGTAGATTGTTAATGATGATATAAGATATTATATAAACCTTTCCATCAGAGAGAGAGAGAGAGAGAGAGAGAGAGAGAGAGAGAGAGAGAGAGAGAGAGAGAGAGAGAGAGAGAGAGAGAGAGAGAGAGAGAGATGGACCAGTTTAATGTTTAGTGATTAATGATTATGATAGTGTCGGAAAACATCCCAATCTAATGAATTGGAAATGATTAATATAGATAATGACAATTTGGGAATTTGGAGAAGAAAAAAAAAATCCCACAAGCATTAGGTTTTTTTTCTTTTTATTTATTTATTATTATATTTTTTAATTATTGTTCTGCATTTTTTTTTGATTAACATATAGGGTAGAGTTAGGTCACATATTCTTCTTCAGTTAGCTTCGGTTGTAGGCCAATTTAAAAAAGAAAAGAAAAAAAAGTCTTGCATTTGTCATGTTGTAAATAATTTGTTAATCTGTAGCATGAACACGGGAATAGAGGCACGGCGAAACGAGAAAACAGATACGTGAAAACCTCATTTTCCAAAAAGTTGGATAGGGGGGACGCGAAGGAAATATGTAAAGATTAAAAATATTGGAATACATCCATAATTTCTAAAAAAATATTATAACATTTAACTTATATACTTATTCTCAATTACATATTTGGGAAAAGAGATAGGCCATTTCCGAGTCTTCATTTAAAATGAGTTTCAGATTTATTTGGGTAGAAACGTGTTTTCATTTTTTTATTATTACGAAAAACGTCCCCAAAATGTTTCCGCATGAACCACCGTGTTTCGGTTTCCAAAGCATTTCCGAAACGTGGAAATGCACTTGAATAGAAGCTTCCGTGCATCATAGTCTGTTATAACTTATACATACTTCATTCATGTGCCACTAATCTGAAGATCAATTACCAAAATACAACGTTACCAGGCCCATGTCACCAATTGTAAACAAAAAGGCCCAACAATTTTTCTTCCTAATTTCAATTTTATTATAAAAAAGATTTTAACATTGCCTATAATAACTAATTAAATACAATGAAAAAAAGGAATTAAAAAACAAAAAGCAAAAAAGAAAAAGATTAAGGTAAAGTTTAGCAAAACTCCATTTGTACATACAGATTAGGACAACTGAAATCTTCAACAACACAAGCATCATAATTTTCTGACATCTTTTCATAACATTAACCGAGACTGAAAAATAATGTTACGAAAGATGCGAAAAGATCCCAAAATGTAGTTCCTTCGAAAACCATTTCGTTTCTTCCCAAAGATCTTACTAATTACACTAACAAACACCCACTTTAAACTAAATCACCATTTTACCCCCACCGACGACGATGATGTCATCTTCTTCTTCTTTGTCGCCTGAGTTGCAGGGTAAGGATCTTCAGAATATTCGGCAGGAAGCCTGGGCCCACTGAGCTGCAAATCTGTGTCCACGTCATTGTCACTTATCCATGCTATGGGTTTCACTGCACCGAGAGTTTTCGTGACGAAATCAAGACACAATCCGAATAAATTACCCACAAATGGATATAAATACGAAAATTAACTCAGGGGAATCTACACAATTTGATTAGCAATCTCCGGTTGTGAAAAAAAGTAAATCCATTTCAAAGACCACGTCAGCAATCGGAATCCCACTTGTAATAGCAAGGAAAAGATGGACATGTTCGAGAAAAGAACATACGACTTTTCATATCGGACAAAGCTCATCTTAAGACACTAATGACTTTTTAGGGAAAAAAAATTGGAATAAATTTTAGGTCACCTTCTGTATTAACGGCATCATTTTGAGGTGGCGGACGAGGGCGCTTTCTCACATAGTTTTCTTGCAAGGGCTTCGGAACTTGGAATGAAAATTGTGAAAAGCTAAGCCCTTCTACCATATACTCCGGGTGTTCATTAAGGTACCTTGTGTATTTAAAAAAAGAAAAAAGCACCAAAAAAGACATGTAAGGAAATAATTATCAATTGTATCTTTTAACATTGAAAAACGATTAGTGGTAATAAAAGAGACTATATATATATATATATATATATATATATATATATATATATATATATATATATATATATAAACCTCTGTATTTCCAGCATCAAACGAAGTCTCTGCCCGAAGGTGCAACATAATACCTGTTGCATAGTTTCAATCAAAATTCGAAATTGAACTGACAAAGTGATGCAAAACGACAAATTTGATACAGAATACATACACATCTGCAAATTTGGAGCCACCTTCGCCTCGTATTCTCAAAAGCCTTTGCCAGCCAGGTGGCGCTTGAGCAATGCTAGGTTTATCGATTGCCCAAACCCTAGTCCCATCTTGCGTTAAATCTGGCGGATCATCGCACGAAATATCAGGCCGCCACTCCCGGGCGGTCTCACACGAGAAGGGCCGTTCCATAATATGCTCTCGTATTTCCTCATACTTTTCTTTTGTTGGAATGAGCCTCCATTTGAAGCAGTTGGCACATTGTACGGTGAACGCACCTATTGATGGCAAAACCCTAGGGGTATTATCGGAAAACGGATGTTTTCTTGGTACAATTTCAGTGCTGTGGGTCCCACTATTGACAGCTGGATCGTAGATCACCATCTGATATTGGGAATTTTCAGAAATTGGATTTGCTTGATCTTGTTGGCTATTTGAGGCATTTTCTAAATCTTCGATATTGTTCGGATAATCAGGTGCAGTCGAAGAATCGGCGGCATTTTTGTCCTTATTCAACTTGATGGTGAGTTTTATTGGCTGTGGCTGTACAACTGTCTCCATCAAACCGAATGCCGTTTAATAAGGATTTACGAACTTGCAAATTATTTTCAATCTAGTAAATAGGTACAAATGCACCTCCCTCTCGAAGCAATTGATGTCGAGAAACTGCACAAATAAATTAAGGGCTAGGTCAAACATAAGCGAAAAAGCAGACCAGAAATAAGTTCTAGATGATTTTTATTCCGAGTCGAACATGGTACCAATAGTGGCATTGCCATATAAAGTCAATCATTCCCTGTTAACGGATTCGACAATTCAAGATCTTGACATTAATTAGACAATACACAAATTAATTGTAAACGACAAATACTTCAAAGAAGTGTCAACCAATGGCACACGACATAAACACTAATTAGACTACACACAAATTAATTGTAAAAGACAAATACTTCAAAGAAGTGTCAATCAATCGCACACGACAAAACACTAATTAGACTACACACAAATTAATTGTAAACGACAGATACTTCAAAGAAGCGTCACCATTCGCACACACGACAAAACAAAGAATAGTTGATCCGATAATCTGTAAGCCACGTAATAAGTAGTTTCATGCAGAAATTCAATTATTCTTTGTCGCGTAGCAGCGTCTATTAACCTAAAACCGCTGGTTAAAATCTAGAACATTCGACAAACGATATCTTATCGGATCGGATAAGTCCATCCGCAAATGAAGGAACACCACCATTAACACCTTCCCCTTTCAGCTAAAAGAGAAAAATCAATCAACACCCAAAACGAAATCAATTAACACCACAATTAACAACCAAAAAAAAAAAACAACAATTAGAAAATGAAAAAAGACAAGATATGCAGAACATTTAAGAATCTTCACAAAAATTAACAAAAGTGACAAAGATAAATGTAACAGAAATCTAAACAGCTGAACTCACAAAAAAAATCTTGACCATAAAATCAAAGATCTGCATGGGTAGAAGGAAAGATAACAAGAAATCCAACAAAGAAAGCATTTTTAAATCTAGAAACATAGATATAAGTCCAAGTATAAAAAACAGACAACGGAGAATGAAAGACGGTGTAAGAGAGAGAATTACAGAGATGCCGATCAAACAGATCTGAGCTGCAAATCCGACGAATCAGTCGACAATTCTGAAGCAATAAGCTCGAGTTAAAAATCAGATCTTTAATTTTCTATTACAATGCGTTTTGCAGGATGTTTTCTTGTCCTCGGGAAGTGAGACAGAAGCAGAAAGGGCGAAACAAGAGAGAGAGAGAGGGGAGAGAGAGAGAGACACGGCCCACAGATTTTTTTACTATTTCCATTTTCCAAGGGGTTGGAAAATTAATTTTTATATGGAATGACGATTTTGCCCATTTTCGCCCTTTGTCTCAAAGATGGTCAAAGAACACCCATATAGAAAATACCACCATTTTAATCAAAAAATTAAATAATAGTAGCAAAATAAGAAAAAAAAAAAAAAGAAGCACCATTTTAGGTCATCTTCCAAATTATGTTGTTCACAAGTCAATATGAGATCTTTTATCAAGATCAAAACCAAGAATTTATCAGATGATGGGAGCGAGATATGTAACAAGCCGAGTTCGACTCTTATTGCCGACGCTCATTAATCCAGTGTGGAATGCATCTCTCGTGTGATTCACGGCAATTGCACAAAAACGGGGCTTACCTAGTTCACATCTGTACCTGCAAGTTCCTTTGTCAAACGAGAAAAAAAAAGGATAAGAACAATCAAGAATTTCAGTTTGCCTTCTTCTTCAATTGAATATGTCTCAAATGGGATAGAAAAGTAGCAAACTTGTGCTTAGGCCAAAGACTGTAAGCTCTGAAGCAGAAAACAACGAGGTTCAAAACTAGCAGTAAAACATCGATCTCGACACTTTTATTACCACAAACAATTGCCTGTCAAAGACTCAAACTTCGCCAAAAGAAGACATACGTTTCGTACATATAACATGAAATTCATTGCATATAGCAGCACTCTATGCTTAATGGGATGTCCTATGTTTACACGATCCATACCATCAGATTTCCCAACATAGGAAAACATTTGGCAGTCGTAGCTAAAGGCAAAACAGACAATGTAGATTATTGAATATATTTGGGGATTTCGCCTTTGTTCAGAATGGAGAGAGCGTAATCGGCAGTGTCGAAAAGATCTTGAATGTTGTGAATGGATCGCTCCTCAGCACCCAACATGAAAATGGCTCGAACCTCGGCTTTCCTTGCTAGCCTTGCCGCTAAGTTGAGCGGCAGATCAGGTGAATTAAGCCTTCTCAATATCTGGCGGTACAGTGATATAACTTTGCCCCTGTTCCTAGCCATGTCCTCTGCCGTAGCCCATATCAATCCTTTCGCCATTGCCTTTCGCTTCCTTACTGCAAAAAAAAAAAGAGTGCACTTACTATATCTCTGCAGAATATAAATATCATGGTCATTCAGGCATTTCATCAAACAGTTTGCAGTGCTTATAAAATAATGTTGCAGCCGAATAGCTATGTGTCAAATTGTTAATAGCATCAAATAACAACGCAACGGGTGCAAGAAGATATTCAGAAGCAAATAACCCAATTCGTAAACTCAATACATTCAAGAATCGAAATATAATTTACCAGCAGAAAGTGACGGAGTGACAGTGGAAGAGAGGAAATTACACAGATGATTGCAGATAGATCTTCGCCGATAGTCAATGAGAGAGCCACGATCGTTCGATTGGTGTCGAGGAATTATATGTAATGTGTTGCTGACGTTTTTCTTCTCCGCGGTAAGGGCAGAAATGGTGGAGAAGAGAGAGGAGAGAGAAGCAGACGATGGGTTTTACCTGAAGCCCACCAAATTTGTGGTAATATCTTCTAACATTTCATTGTAGTAATATTATTTATATTTTATACTCGATTAAACTTTTAATTATTTTTAGTACAAAATGCATTTAACCCCTACGATTTTTTTATTTTCTCACCCCCCCCCCCCCCCAAAATTCAAAAACTTGATAATCCCCTTCAAAATATTATTTTCGTTACAATTTGCCCTAGATGCCAATTTTTGGTGGACACTGTGCATCAAAAATAAGATTGTAAAGGCCGATGTGCAAAAATATAATATTTTTAAGGGTTAACGTGCAACGAAAATGACATATAATGTGCAATAAAAATACCCAAATGCCAATGAATAATCCATCAAAATTTTGCTATTTGAAGGGGGACATTGACTTTTTATAATTTTGAAGGGGTAAAGTGAAAAAATTAGAAATTGTAGAGGGTGATGTGCAATTTGCCCTATTTTTTTAATTAGAAAAGAAAAATCCATTTTCAATTTATACCCACAGCACTCCTCTTGCAAACACCCACACTGGTACGAAGTCTTGCCCCAATCTAGAGAGAGAAAGTAATCAAACAGGAAGAGAAAGATGGGAGGAGGAATGGAGATGCGCAAGAACCACTGGATCGAGGAATGGGCAACGAAGAGAGAGAATCTCGAGCACCATTTCCGGTGGACACGCCGCAACCTTGCCCTTGCCGGAATCTTCGGAATCGCCGTCCCCGTCCTCGTCTACAAAGGCATCGTCAAAGATTTCGTGAGTATTTTTTTTTTTTTTTCTTGGCCCCCTCTTCTCTTACGATGATTTGATTGGTTCTAATTCCGATTTCATTCCTTGTAATTTGTAAAGTGACCTGTTTGTGCCCTAATCAATTTATCGAATCGACGCCTTACTGCTATTTATTTTTTTGATTTTGGCAATTCAATGTGTTAGGGTTTTTAAAATTGGAAGGAGAAAGGTTAAAGATTTAGGTTTTCGAGCAAAATCGTTTATCAGAATAAGCTGAGAGTTGTTAATGCTAAATAAATGGTGAAATTAGGCTTGATTTTATTATATGGTTATTAATTTTGTGCCACCAACTGGCCATTGATCTTGCATGATTTCGACAACGAAGTTGTAAAATCAGATGTATGGTTTCTTACAGTAGGTATATTTAACTTGGCTCCAAAATCGGATGTATGATCTTACGAGGGAGCTTAGCTCTGAACATAACTCAGGGGAGTCGGCATATGATATAACTTGTAATTGCTGAAATTGTTCGACAAATATTAGTATGATACGGAGATATTGATGTACACTTACTTGCCAATGAAACGAAAATGGAGAAGTAGAGTATTTTTTTCTTCTTACTGTGTTTTTAAGGATCTGCTGCTCGTAAGTTATATCAGGTTAGTCCAAAAACGAAACCTTTTTCCCCACTTCCCGTCATTATAGATTAGAACCATGGGCTGGATCGTGTATTTCGATAATAAGATTAGCTGTTTCGTATTTGTCTCGGGTATCAAGTTTTCAAACGAAATAAAGTTTAAACTGGACAGTCTCAGTAGTTTCAAATGCAGATTGATAACCACCAGAGCCCCGGCCTGCTAACAAAATTGATAGTTCACAATATTACGTAAGTTCAGATTAGACATCGTTAGCTTCTCAGACATCTAGTGCTGATTTGCTTGATATTTCGATAAATGAATCGGTTTTCTTGAACCCTCTTTCTCCTGTTTTTTTTTTTCAATTTATTCCTCGATACTAATTTTGAGTATTGGATTCTCCGTTATTTAAATCATGTATAGCTGAATCCATTAGAAACAATAGGTCTCTAAGGAAGTCGGGGCTGGACATTGATCTTGATCGTGTCGATAATAAGATATACTCTCTTTGTTTCTTTTTTCGGTTTTTTTTCTTTTTTTAAATACGATATTGATAAAGTATTAACCTCGTGGTAATTTGTGTTGCAGCACATGCAAGATGAGGATGCAGGGAGGCCACACAGGAAATTCTGGTTTTAGGCAATTTCTGCAGTTAAATCTGTAATAAATAAATGTGTCTGAATTTTTTTTTGAAGATTTGTATTCTTCAAACTCTTTTCCAAGTTGAACAATTTTGTTAATTGTGGTGATTTCTTCAACCAACTCTGTTCTTGAATTGATTGTTTTACTTGTATGAAGAATGATATGTTCAATGGATTTTTTTAGGGCAAATTACGGCCAACCCCCTGAGGTAAGGTCAAATTACAAAATTACCCCTCTTGTTTAGGTAATTACAATCGCCCTCGTGTGACAATTATTTTCCCTTTTAATTTGAATGGAAATTTTACATGGACATACATCAAGATCCAGATCAAAAGCCACACACACACACACTAAGTTATACATACATTGTATGCATGTAATACTATGCAAGAATCCAAGCTCTACCACCTCGCATGTTGAACTTCTTCAACCTTCCGATGAACATAACAACGATAAGTACGAATTTGCCCTCGTCGCTCCATCTTCCTGCAAAACCATACCATGCATCCTTACACACAGCAGCACCACCACCACTATAATGCATTTGCTTTTCGCAACTGTACCCAACCGAGAATCCCACATTCCCGTATGCACTGAGACAAACAAATTAAATTAAATTAAAATATTCGATTTAATATGAATTAAGTAGTTGATTTGTCTCGTGTAGGGACTCTCACCTGATGACCTCAACGACAATGTTGAGCACGTTGAAGTTGATGGGGTCGGTTTTCATGTTTTGTCGCTCTGTGATGCAAATGAGTATGACGAATATCGAGAGATATGTGAGTTGTGAGAATACGATGTTTTCCCACTTGTAATAAACCTTGTTTCTTGATGTTAATGTAGTATTAATAATGTGCTTTGTAATATTTTCATCAGCAACTTGATGCTCATTAATTGGTAGATATGATGTATATGGTGGCAGGTACCTGCAGCAAAAGTTTAACATTATATGAGAGAGAGAGAGAGAGAGAGAGAGAGAGAGAGAGAGAGAGAGAGAGAGAGAGAGAGAGAGAGAGAGAGAGAGAGAGGTGATCAACACTCACATCATGATGACAAACAACACCAAGACCGCCGGAGAAACAACTCCGAGATCGAAAACCGACTCACCGGCATGCCTCGAATTCACTACTTGAAATAAACACCCCACTATTCTCTCGTAATAATTACTAACCCCGAGAAAATTATTATTCCACTCCAACGAACAGAAGACGACCATCTGAACAACCACAAACCCTAAAACAGTGATTCCCAGGTAAACCGATTCCAATCCGGGCATCAGATGCCCGTATCCCAATTCCCTGGAATTCTCCAACACGTATCTCAATTCAGCTCTCTTCGTCACTTTCTCCGTAAACCAAATTAATAAACGCAAACAAACCGGGTACAACGTGTTCCCCATGAAGACGAGTTGGATTAGAATGAGCAGCAGCCCCGAGTTCTTCTTGAACACAATCATATTTTCGTTGGTCGGGACAAAGCCACAATTCGCAAAAGTGGAAACTGCGGTAAACACGGAGAATATTCCCATGCCGATGCCTTTTCTCTCGAGCACTCTTCGTGCACTCGGAACGAGGCTCAAGTAAACAACAATCGAAGCGGACCCCACTGCATGAACCGCGAGTAGGTACCACGTAACCAAAGATGCCAAAATCTCGATACATTTACGTTTCATATTAACATCGCTATTGGAACGATCGAATTCGGCGATCATCTGACGTGATCGAATTTGATTATTATTTATTTTGGCCTTCGTTAAACGAAGACCGAGCATCGAGGTGAAAACTTCTCCGCCGAGAAGCATGAGGACGGTCAAGATGACGAGATGCGTGGTCGAGAAAACCTCCATTTCGAGTGTGGACATGCTGGAAACGGTTACTGCAGACGCGGAAGTGAAGAAAAGATCGATTTTTCGGGCTGGGTTCGAAGAAGTTGACTTTAGAGCCAAGAAACCGACGGAAGAGAGTGTGACGAAATAGCCGAGTTCGAACAAGAATGGATTTAGTCGAAAGAGGAGAATATGTAGGAAGTATGAGGGTGTGTGTTTCCATTTCTTGATGATAACTTCATCAAAGTTGTTCATCTTTTTTTTTTTCACTAGTTAGTGTGTGTGTGTGTGTGTGTGTGTGTGTGTGTGTGATTTATGACAAATATTAACGTGGGGAGAGTGAAATTTATATAGAGAAAATTTAAGGTTGATGATGAACTCATATGTAGTTGCTGTGCATGGGGTCCCCTCTTTCCATTAGAAAGTCATTAGGATTTAATTCCACTTTGGACCTCAAATTATGTAGCTTTTGCACTTTGCACCTTCTTAGAATATTAATAACATACACTCAAAAAACAATATATAACGAATTATTCATAGCCTCATGCATCGTGCACTCCGAATATATATACATTATTTTTTATTTTAAATTTCGATTTTATCCTTTCAGTAGCAATATTTTTATCTCAGAAGGTGTGATTTTTTTTTTTCCTATATCCATCCATTGTTTAACAAATTAATTATTCGTGACATGAAAGAGAGAATAAATTCCTAATGATGAGTAATGAATATTAAGGAGTTAAAAAAAACGTGAGTACGGTAGAATCTCGACAAATTAATTATCTCGCATTAAAATAGAATTTTACTATAGTCCCGACTGTATTAATTTATAGAGATTTAACCGTACCAGATTTCATTTACATGATTTCTTTAGAATTATATATTTTTTTGTGGACACATTAATATAATTGAAATGCTTTCGTATGTTTGTGTTGAGGAATAACGGTAAGTATATTGAAAATTAGATGATACACCTATTTTACTTACATCAGGTGGATGTAACCATAGTACACATAATTTTGTAAGTCATTATTAATTAACTGTCTGGCTCTTTCTTTCCATACAAGGAATTGCATTCCATTTAGAATAATAATTAGGTTTAATATATGTTGCATCCACGTGCGCAATAAAAATTTATGATTGTCGTTGAAAATTTGCTGAGGCGAGCTGTCTCTTTCTGTAAGACGATATTTTTCCCGCTACGATGCTTACGGTTTTATCTTGTTGTACTTTTGTGTGTGAACGTTTCCAGAGAATATAGGAATAAAGGGTATGTTTATAACTTCCGATTTTCTTGATTTAAACGTGGGATAACTCGAAATCTCCACAATTTTCTTGATTGAATGAATGAACATGCACGCTTTGAACTGAGATTCGTTATTCACCACAAGTTTTCAGATATAAATGTATTTTTGTATCTACTCATTGCATTTATATGTTGACTTTGTCCAAAGTTTGGATTCAATAACCAAATAGACCACTCGTTATAAACATGTTGATCAAAAGTTGTTCAAGACTCAATTTTCTCAACAAATCACAGAGCATCCAAATAGGTTTTTTTAGGAAATTCAATGGGGGCATTTTTGTCTTTTCGCATTTCTCGATCTATATATAGCACAAGGTGTCAAATTGAATTTTCTAATTATATCCATCCTTTTAACCTAGATGATACATAATTAATTAAGTCATTACAAATTTATCATGGAAAAATATCACATTTTCTATAGTTTTTCTATATTTATTTAATTCGCTTAATTATATTATGCGCAAGAATGTGAAAATTGTCCATCCCCACTTATCCATATATCATTTAAATCAATATTTAATAATTATCTTTTTTTGGATGCGATATATATCTTAATATAATAGCATGCAATACAAAATAGACACGTACACCAATCATATTATTATTAATTATCAAGGGTTGCCACAAACCTTCAAGTGGGAAAACAAACAAATATAAATAAATTCAATTAAAATGTTCCCTCATGGTTGGATTTTGACGATTCATTTTGCACTACAAACAGTAATTATATTTAGGGTATAAATTACAATCGTTCCTCTATAGTAAGGTCTATTTATGATTTCACCCCTGAATTTTGTAGATTTTTTATATTAACACCCTTTTGTGGGGTGAATGTAATAAATTAACAAACTACAGGGAGCTATATGTAATTTATTGAAAGTAAAAGATTTTTTTTTTTGTAATTGCACTTTACCTCAAGGAGGTAGTTGTATTTTAACTTATATTATTTATATATGCACTTAGATAATTAGGAAAATTAGCTGAAAGCCCCTAGAAAATATTCTCTACAGTATAAGGAGAGACAAATTTTGCAAATTTGATAAAAGTCCTTGTGCCCTTTAGATCTGGAGTCTCTCTAACCGAATTGCTTAGGAAAACTAATAATACCCGTGATAGTAATTTGCACAACTAAATAATATTAATAAACAACAATTTAATTAAAATAAAACAACCCTATAGTAATAATATTTATTAGCCAAAGTCAAATAAAAGCAATATCAATTATTCCATTTATAATCTTGTGGTTATTTTATGACAAAATTTGCACTACATGTGGATGTTATAAACTCATCATCAAATGCCAATAGCAAAAAAAGTTAATTATGACTTTAATTAACAATAGGCCTCTCCATGATGCATATTAATATTAATAAAATATCATATCATGATTAATAAAATATAATATCACAAGTCACATCAAATCCTTATCCTTAAATAAACAATTTTTGGAATGTACTAATAGCCATATGTTGGAATGTACTAATAATCTATCTATCTATTCATGTAATAGTGTCTCCCCATTTAAGACATGCAATGATTGATTATTGATTATTAGTTGAGCTTAATTAATTAAGGTTAATCGTGCAAGTCAATTAGTACTATTTATATTTGTTAGGTTAATGTACTTATCATTATATCTAGCATGTTGATTTTTCCTTTTTTAATCGAAAAATGTGTGCACGAGATAAATCCCGCTTTTAATCGATAGGTGTAAAATGTAAAATGTATCGGCAAAAATGGTCGACTTAGAATCATTACAAGTAATTAGTTAGAACCCGTTTGGCTAAACTTATTTTAAACTAATAAGTTCTTACATCTGATAAGCTGTTTTAAGATCTAGTTGATATGCTTTTACGTCGTATTTTTAGAATTAATATTTTACTTGTTTGAATAATGAACTTATAAGCTACTTTTACTCAATAAAAACATAGGGTAAAAGTATTTTAAAAAAAAAAGAAAAACTTATTTGCTATTCAACAACTTATTTTTTGAATTTTGAAGATAATATATTTCTTTACTCAAAAAAAAAAAAAGATAATATATTTCTTCAAGGCCCGTAATATGGGCCCATAAATATTCATAGTAGAAAGCCCATAAAGAAGGCCCAATAGTTTCGGTACTCGGCCCGGTTTTATATCGGGCAGTTTATAATTCCTCCACCGGTGATTCGATTGTTCATATTTCTTCTTCGTTTTCTCCTTTTTGCGCTCGAAATTTCTCAGTCTGATTTGAAGGTGAGTTTTCCGATTTTTTTGTTCAAATTGATTGACGAAGAACATATATTGAGCGTGCTACTATTTTCTGATGAATTATCTGAAGCTTCTTATGATAATATTTTGTTTTATTGGAACCCTAATTCTGTAGCTTGCTATCTTCGTCCACGATGAATTTGATTTTAAGGAAATTGAAGTGTAGCCGGTGAATTAAAATCATTGCCGTGTGGCTATGGTGTTAGGGGTAGTTGGAAGTTTTCGTTCCTATAGATTTGGATGTGTTGTATTTATCTTCTGTACAATCATTGGTGAAAATTCAAAGAATTAAATATTTACGTGCGGCGATCATCGGAGGAAAACCTGGGGTTTGGGATGTTTGAATTTTTGTTCTAGTATCTAGTTCACTGATGAAAATCATTGTTTAAATCATACTTGAACGTTTGAAGAGCTTGTGGATTATACCAATTTAGGGAACTCATAGCTAACCTTTCCTTCATTTGTTGGTGCGATTATACTTTTCAATTCTAATAAAATAAGAACACTGTTTACTGATATCAATTGCGCATTTTTTTTTAATTGGCGTTGTTGTGAGTCTAATCTAACTTCATTTATTTTTGTTTACTTCAATGATATATTTGGAGAATACAGGTATTAGATACCCAAATCAACCGTTTCTTAATCTTGTTGGCAATGGGATCAGATAATGCTGAACCTTCACGTGGGAGAAGTGTTGAGAAACGGAACCAAGATGACTCGCCTACGAGGGAGAGGTGGAGTGGAGAGTATGATGATGCGGAAAAAAATGGCTCTGACGAGGTATTAGTTGCTGGGAAGCATCGTAGCAAAGATAAGAGTAAAAGCAGTGGGCGGAGAGAGGAGAAAGAGCACAGAAGTAGAGATCGCGAAAGGTCAAAGGCATTTGACAGTGTGAAGGAACGGGAGAAAGAGAACAAAGATTCTGAGAAAGATCGTTCGTCAAATAGAGATAGGAGGAAGGAGGACAGGGATGAGAAAGAAAAGGATAGGGTCCGGGAGAAGGATTCTGATCGTGAGAAGCATAGGGAAAAAGAGAGAGATAAAGAAAGAAAGGATCGGGTAAAGGAGAATGAGAAGGAACGGGAGAGGGTGAAAGAGACGGAAAGAGATGGTGAGAGAGGGCGAGATAAAGAGAGGGGAAAAGAGAAGAGCAGAGAAAAGGATAAAGACAAGGAGAGGGAAAGGGATAGAGCTAAAGATAAGGAGCGAGAAGATCACAGAGATAGGGACAGGGACAGGGAAAGGGAAAATGGTAAGCATAGAGGTAAGAATACAGATGAGAGAGAGAAGGGGAAGGAGAAAAATAGAGAGAAAGAAAAGCAAGGAGATCAAGAAAAGGAACGGGCAAGGGACAGAGATAGAAGTAGTCGTAAACAGAAGGATGAGAGTTATGACATGGTCAAGGATACGGAGAAGGATGGTCACTTAAGATTGGAGAATGATTATTCTCGTGATAATCAGTCTAATAAGGTGCGAGTAGATAACTCTGATGGTGAGAACGACTCCAAAATTCTCAAGCAGCAAGATAGGGCTGAAAAGTCAGTTGACGGAAATAGCCAATCAGCATCTGATTTAGGGGAGCGCATTTCTAAGTAAGTTAATTTTTACTGCTTGACTCTCACAATCTTCCACACATTCTTGTTTATCTTATATGAAAATATGTTACATGTTTATTCCTAATTGTTCTCTGCATGTTTTAGGGTTGGAATTTTTGCTACTCTTGATGCACATGCCTTAAAAGAAACAATAAACTCTGTGCCTACTTTTCCCATGCTGCAAAAGTTTTCTTAATATTCTTTGTTCATCTTAATTTATGATAGTGCAAAGTAGCAATATTTGGATAAATTAAGTGATGAAATGTGGGAAAGAAAGACGACTGGAAAGAGTAGGAGAACTAAGAGCCGTATGTAGAGAAGTGGTTTAATGTGATAAAGAAGTAGGAGGTGATATAAACTCGTAAGCTAAAGTTAGTTTGTCAGAAAAATAGAGAGGACACAGTTGCTTTAGTGACTAAAAAGGTCTCGAACACCAAAAATGTTTTAAATGAAGGAATTGGGATATGGATGGATTATAATGAAATAAAACACTGTCAAGAGGGAATACCTTGTTAGTTGGACTAGGCGAAAGAATCGATTTAATACATTTCCTATGTACCCACAGGTACTATAGTGGATGTAATATGTTGTCACTAGAAAATTCCACTACTTTTGGTTTTGGATTTTTCAAATCATTTGCCCAGGGGTTACAGTAGAAGTAGAAGTGATGTAGATTATTCAAATGCGGATATCGATTTTCTATTAGAAAATGCTGCTGAATTAAGTTTTGACTGAATTATCTCGCCTGATCGAATATTTTTACATATAATGTTTGAACCTTTATTTGTTAATTGATTGGATCACCTTTTATCTGCTATGTTGCAAACTGAGTACATGTAATTGTAAGAATGACTTGTACCTTCTCTTATTCAAATGAAGCACACCATGTCTTTAGGCTACAGTACTGGGATCTAGAACCGTACTAGTGTACCTACAAAAAGCTCGAAATTAACTTCTTTTTTTGACTGGTGATGTAACAATAACGCTTTGTTTTTTACTTGTGGAGGGTGTCACAGTGGTTTATGTTAATCTTGAAGAAATAGTAAAAACTAATAGAATTTTTGGATGTTTACTCTGATCTCAGAATGAGACAAGAAAGGTTGGTGAAATCCTCTGAAGGTGCTTCTGAGGTTTTAGCTTGGGTAAACAGGAGCAGAAAGCTTGAAGATAAAAGGACTGAAAAGGAGAAAGCATTGCAGCTTTCTAAAGTTTTTGAGGAGCAGGTTACTTAAAATTAATGTTCACTTAATGAAGGATGTGAAGTGATTCTTTCTTTTTATTGTACAATGAACGACAAATAGAAAATTCTAACATATTACTTTGCATGTTTCAGGACAACATGAACGATGGAGACAGTGATGACGAGGCAGCAACTCAAGCCGTAACAGGTATGTCGATTTGAGATTATTTGCCGTTACATATTACAGAACATATATATAGTAACTCATGCACGCAGACTAATGATCATATTTCACCAGAGTTTTCTCAACATGTCAAGTCACTCTTTTCATGCACTATGAACATTCCTTACATACATATTAATTGAGGTCATATTACAAAATGTAGTTCTGTTCCTAGTGATGAATGTTCCAGAACTAGCTGACTAGCTTCTCCACTTAAAATGTAAAAAATCAGAAACTCAGAAATCCTTTTCTTTTCTGTGAGTTCAATTCCTGTATTACATAACTGTGGGTGCTGAAAGATCGACTTGGAAACACTTCTACATCTACCGTAATCATCAACGTGCTCTGACATTTTGTCTTTTGCCATCTGATGGCAGAAAGTTTAGGGGGGGTCAAAGTTCTTCATGGGCTTGAAAAAGTTCTTGAAGGCGGAGCTATCGTTTTGACGCTCAAAGATCAAAGCATACTTGCTGATGGGGATGTTAATCAAGGTAAAGTATCCAGTACTCATGTCTTTTTTAGCCCTTGTAATATCTTCTCCAGTGCTTTTCATCCTTTGAGGTATTTTCTGGACTCAGATTTCCTAAGGTGACGTTAAATTGTATATACCAGAGGTCGATATGCTTGAAAATGTGGAGATTGGAGAGCAGAAGCGAAGAAATGAAGCTTATGGGGCTGCAAAGAAGAAAACCGGTGTTTATGTCGACAAGTAAGATTAACCAAACGTTGGCCTTAATTACATCATATGATATATGTATGGCTCATTCTCCCTTTTTTGTTTTGTTACAACTAGGTTTAGTGATGAACCTGGTACTGAAAAAAAGATGCTTCCACAATATGATGATCCAGTTGCTGACGAGGTTGAATTTTTATCTGGATATTATTTATTTAATTGTATATGTGTGCGATGTTGGCAACTTAGCAGCATTAACATTCTTGATTTTCATGATAGGGTTTAACTCTTGATTCAACTGGACGTTTCACTGGTGAAGCTGAAAGAAAATTGGAAGAGGTAATTTTTTGATCTATGTATATGATAACTAGTTCCTGCATAAAAAGCGGAATTATATTGGATAACATAGATTTGTAACTTAATGGCAGCTTAGGAAAAGAATTCAGGGAGTACCAGCAAGCACGTATGGTGAAGATCTCAATTCAACTTTGAAGATATCAACAGATTATTATACTCAAGAAGAAATGACAAAGTTTAAAAAGCCAAAGAAAAAGAAGTCTTTGAGGAAGAGGGAGAAGCTGGACATAGATGCCCTTGAAGCAGAGGCTGTAACAGCTGGATTGGGTGCTGGGGATCTTGGTTCACGAAATGATGGGAGAAAGCAAAATCTTAAGAAGGAACAAGAGAGGGTTGATGCTGAGATGAGAAGCAATGCCTTCCAGTCAGCATATGCTAAAGCAGAAGAGGCATCTAAAGCACTTCGGCCTGGGAAAGTAAATATCATGCGCACAGAAGATGACGACACTGTTTTTGGTGATGATGATGATGAGCTCCGGAAATCCTTGGAGAGGGCAAGAAAAATAGCCTTCAAAAAACAAGATGAGAAAGAAAAACCGGGCCCTCAGATGATAACCCTTCTTGCTTCTTCCACTGCCAATGATTCAACTGCTGAAAATCCGAATTTGAGTTCTGTAGATCAATCAGAGAACAAGGTTGTCTTCACGGAGATGGAAGAATTTGTCTGGGGTCTGCAGCTTGATGAAGGTACCAATTTTTTTTGAAGTCCTGCAACCTTGTTTGTCTATTTCTGTTTATGTTTTTCGTTGCGTTGGGTGGAAATTTTTGTATGCTCTTGGAGATAAAAATAGGAAAAAAAAATACCATAGGGAAGAGGCGAAAGTGTTGGATTGATTCGAATGGCTGTGTAGGGAAACATGCTTTTTATTTTTTTTTCCGAATACTTGCTGCCTGAGGCATTATCAGTTGAAAAAATAGATTTAGTGGTTTCCGTGAAGTATTGTATTGTGAGAGAGAGATGTCTACTGGTGGTAACTAATCATCTGTATCATAACTTGAGTTGCATAAATCTCGAATAGGTCAAAGGAAAAAAAATAGTTTGCTTTTATTGAGTGTTCAGTATCTCCTTGTGCTTCTCTCGTTGAAAATCGTATTTGGTCAGTCTAACCAAGTCACTGGTTGTGATGTACTATGCATAATTGACATTTTCAGTTCCTGCTGCATTTTATCTGTTAAACAGAGAAGTCGGTGGTATCTATCCCATGATTTCCTTGTATTTTGTTATGTTTCTTTGATTATGGCATTTGGTTATCCTTCTGCCTGTTGCAGCAGAGTCTATGGTATATCCAGTTCCATAGACCCGTGGAATGTTTATAGCTATGATAATTTTGACTTAACTATCTGAGTCTTGCAATACTATCTGCTAGATTATGCTTAATCACACTGTATATCTAATTCCTGTGAATCTGATTGTTTTGTACTTCTCAGAGGAGAAAAATCCTGAGAATGAAGGTGTCTGCATGGAGGAAGATTTGGCACCAAGCACATCTGATCATGAAATGACGGAAGTAGATGGTGGCTGGTCGGAGGTAAAAGAAGCAGTGGAAGAAGTGGCTCCTCTGAAGGAGGAAGAAGAGGAAGTTGTTCCAGATGAGACAATTCATGAAACTTCTGTTGGAAAGGGTCTAGCTAATGCTCTCAAACTACTGAAAGATCGTGGCTCACTCAAGGAAACCACTGAATGGGGTGGTCGAAACATGGATAAGAAAAAAAGCAAACTTGTTGGCATTAACGACAATGATGGAGGAAAGGAAATACGAATTGAGAGGACAGATGAGTTTGGAAGAATTGTAAGTTGCCTTAACCTTAGTTTCATATGTTTCTCACTTGTTATTTCACTACTTCCGTCATTATCCTGATCGATTCTTAGTTTCAAAATATTTTCAGCTTCAAGTAATGTTTTTGTGTGAGATGATTTGGTTAGTGCGATATAACTGGTAATAAAAATATCAAGGAATAAATGATCTTGTTAGATTGGGCCTAGTATATGATCTTGTCTGTTTTGGGAGTCCTAGTTCCGTTAAGTTGAACCTCGAACTAGTTGATTTGTGAAAGGCAGGTGAACGATATGTTTTACAGTCAACATCACGATAATAGAAAAAAAATGTATTTTTATCATGTAGTTTAAGGTTAATATCAACTATGAAATATGAATCTGTTAGTCGCATCACCTAGCGAAAATAAATATAATTTTGTTTCATGTGCAACAGTTGACACCAAAGGAATCCTTCCGGCTGCTTTCACACAAGTTCCACGGGAAGGGACCTGGAAAAATGAAACAAGAGAAGCGCATGCGGCAGTATCAGGAGGAGTTGAAGGTGAAGCAGATGAAAAACTCAGATACACCATCATCTTCAGTTTCGAGAATGAAGGAAGCTCAAGAGAAACTACAAACACCGTACCTTGTTTTAAGTGGGAATGTCAAACCAGGGTATATTATGTGTTACTTTCCTTTTTCACTTCGTTTAAAAATCCGTCTTCCTTGGGTGCGTTAATTTGGTTTGTTGTATTGTGTCTTTGCAGGCAAACTAGTGATCCGAGAAGTGGGTTTGCTACCGTAGAGAAGAGTCTTACTGGAGGATTGACTCCCATGCTTGGTGATAAAAAGGTTAGTCTCTGTCTTATTACATGCCACCACCCAACAAATTTATGTGTGGTTATATTCGACATTTGCTTACTGATTTTGTATTTCAGGTTGAGCACTTCCTAAATATCAAGCGCATGCCCGACCCTGGGGAAAGTGGTGCTTCTTCTTCAAAGAAGCCGAAAACTTGAGAATGAGGGCATTTTCGTATATGTTGGTGTATCGCATAAATCAGAATGGCATCATATAGATTCTGTTGCCTGCTTTTCTTTTCTTTTCTGGGGCAGAGTAATATTTTCTTTTTATTTCTTTTTCATTTTACCTAACAACAATTTGTACTTCGTAAATTGGATTAGCATGTTCTAATGATGCTCTTATCTTTGTTTATTAAGAAATATTGTGTATTAGACCCTTCTAATCTACCATAAACATAGTGTAAAACAAGCTATTATGATTAGTTAAATACTTTATTATATATATTTGCTTGTTGGAGGATTAAATGTATATTGGACCTCCATAAATACAACAATATGAGTAGAATGAATGAATCGAACAGTGATATTGTTACTCTACGAAATGAGATTTCAAGAAGCATTCAAATAATACGAGCACAATCGCCAGCATCGCATATCAGGACCATATTGTCTGGATCGATTTGGCTTGCTAATTCGGGTTGGATCTTAGAATATTCCTTGTTGATGTATGAGCTGGCATCTAAAGCACAGTCAGCATCCACAAAGGCAATGCAGCATCCACGGAATCCAGCACCACTGAAACGGGCCCCGTAAACACCTGGCGCCCTCACAATTATCTCGTACAGTTGGATAAGTGGCTCGCAACCTGTTATTACATAGCACAACACCATAATTATATATATATGTCTGTCATGTGTGTGTGTGTGTGTGTCATAATATGGTTTTTTTAACAATTTAAATTAATTGATATCTTACCACTCTCATAATTCTGGATAGAACTCAAACCAGACGCCGAAATAAGCTTTCCGAAATCCTCGAGATTTCCAGTAGCCCAAGCCTCGAGCCCTGCAATTTAACCCGATAACTCAGTACAAAATTCATGAATTAATCACTGCAATAATCATACCTTTTAAAACTCGTTTATTCTCCGAGAAATAGTGCTCTGCTCTTCTCGCAAGATTGGGGTCTAATTTGCACTGCAATGATTTTTTTTCTTAAAACATTAATTAACCTTAAAAAGCCAAATCATCGAAAATGAAGAAATAAACATTGCATTAAATCCAAATATCACTTCAAAAAGGAAACACAAGTAACGAACCTTGTGCTCCTCATACGCTTCCGGTTCAACTGCAGTAAAATTAACGGATTTTCAAAAACCGTAACGATTATTCAACGAATATACAAATGAATTAAGAAAAACATTTTCAAATACCATTCGATAGGATAGGCTCTAGCCCTTCATTCCCAGAAGCCCTGTAAGCAGCAGATATGATAAAATAATAAAAATAATAAAAATAATAAGAAACACCGAATTGCACCAAAGGGCGATTCCGGAACAAAATCTTACTTGAGGAGAATTCTTGCAGCCTCTCGACATTCTGAAACTCGGGAATTGTATCCAGGATTTGTAATCAAAGCCTGCTTCAATCCCGAAAATGCCAGTAGTATCTTGAATCGTTTATCCGTCTCTTTGTTATGTATTCCACTCGACTTTGGACATTGTACAAGTTTGTGTTCTTTCGTCTGCACAAGATTACATACGCTAAAAAAAAAAAAAAAACGATTTTGCATTTTCCGAAAATCCGGTTAGAAATACTTACCTTGCAGTTCATACGAGTTAAACAGCCGTAGCTCGAGAGCAAAATGGCAGATTGATCCAATATCCCGTTTTTCAGACCTAAATACTCGTTTTCAATTAACCTGCATGTTATAGAATAAGGGTGATCGAAATACGAACGAGTTCTACGGGAGGAAAAAAGTGGCAATTGTGTTATTCAAGCATAAGAAAAGCCTACCTATCGTACTCGATATTCTCAGTGGGAGATATCGTAAGCTTATTCGCACTTTCAAAAGCAAGCAAATAAGCCACCCCAACCTGTCAAATAACGAGACTTCAATAAGATAATCTTAATTTACGCAACCAAACGAGGCCTAAGCAGAAAAAAAAAAAAAAGAAACTTGTACTGAGAGTAGCATACTTACAGCTGCCGAAGAGCTAAGTCCCGAACTGTCGAGCCCTTCAGCACCCGAGATAAATCCGATAATGCCCTGCAAAACCGAGTTACGGAAATCGAAGGAAAAAAAATATATATCTTTTCGACTTTCGAATAAAATTGTGTTGGCATACAAAAGTGTCGTCAATTAATTAAAGAGAGACGAGATAAAGACCTGGTTTAGGTTGTTTCCTTTCTTTCGTAATGCGTAAAGTGCTCCTCTCGCGTAATTTCCCCACCTACATTCCTCCACTGAACTGGAATATTCCTTGGAATCATTTATTTTCGGCAGTTGTTCTTCATCTACTCTATGAAGCCAAAATGCAAGCAAACAAAAAAATTATAGATAAATAAAACATAAAAAAAAAATATTAGTGATTGTCGAATATTTATCAAAATTCACCTGAACCTAACTTCTCCCTCGAACTGTCCTGATTGTATTATAACCTACAAAAATAAATTTTTAAATTTTTATATTTATTTTTTATTCAACCCCTTAAAACGCATACGATCGACGTTCCTCGTCAATCATTAGGCACGGAAATGAGACATAAAATCATTAAACTAATTGTTCTACCGAGTACGTTAAGATGAATTCAAAATCATTCGACTTGAAAAAAGAAATTCCTATATAAGTTAAGTTTCATCATATATGAAATGAAGAATTCAAGAAATGCTAAACGATATATATATACTTACCTGAGAATCATAGGATGGAACGAAACCGAGAAGTATACCCTTATTGATCGTCATAGCCGAAACGATTCCACCCTGTCACATTCAATTCGGTTCTTACTTTGAAACTACAAGGAAACATATAGCTCAAATATCAAACAAACAACGAACATTCGTAACATTCACTATTACTCACAGATATAACGTAACATAACATAATCGCCCAAGATTTGACTGAAAAAACCGCACCTGATGGTCGATATGTGCTCCTAGTGGACAAATCCTATACGGGGATGCAACAATTTTCACCTCCTCGGAATTTCTTCCACACATTTCGGCAACTTTTTTCCGGATCACATTTATCTGCAATAGTAACATATTTGTAATATTTATGCACATTGTATCCCATTATTCTACTAAAACGCGACATATATGTGGTTACATAACCCACTGCTCAATAGAGACCAAAAGACAATGAACACAACAACAACAACAACAACAAAAGGGGAAAAACACGATCAGTGGCGGAGCCAGTTTAGAGCTAGGGGGCCCACCCCCATATAGATATATAAATTTTTTTTTGTGTATAGTAGCATTAACGGGCCCCGCTAGAAAAATTGTAATGCATTCGGGCACCGGACATAAAATCCTGGCTCCACCACTGTATGCGATTTTCTAGAACTAGTTGGTATACTAGTCTGAATAGAGTTTGAGTAACTGCATGCAAAATAACACACACTTCCCCCATCTAAAGAAAAAAGCTACGAAAAAAGCAATTAAATCGAGGTAAAAAAAGAAAATCAAGAATTCAGATAATTATTGCATTCCAAATCCAACCATTGTATGATAAAACGTCACCGTAGAAGGAACACTAAATCAAGAACTACCTCTGATTCAGAAGGCCAACACATTGCACCCATCCTCCCCAAAATTGGATCAATTTTCCAAATCGAGCGACTTTTCTTCAAACTGGCCAATTGGGCTTCTCTCTTATACACGTGTGTGTATATATATATATATATATATATATATATATATATATATATATATTTGTGTGTGTGTGTGTGTGAGAGAGAGAGAGAGAGAGAGAGGATTTGAAGGAGCAATAGTTGGTAATGGGTTTTTGGTGATTTTAGTTGTGATCTGAATTTAATTCTCATCCACCTAACAGAATCCAATTATTAACAATCATTCCACAAATGCTTAATTTATAATGCATATTTAAGGAGGTATTAACAAAATATATCATTAAAAATTAAAAATTAAAACAAAAGTAAGTTAGAGTCAAACATTAATAAATTTAAATTACAATACAAAATTACGAAAATATCGTAATTACAACTCGCGAAAATTACGTAATCAACATAGCCAGAGTGGTTGTACCGGTGCATCGAGACCGAGAGGTTCGGCGACGACGAATACTACACCGGCAAGAGGAGCATGTACGTCTTATTTGTTGTTAACGGGTCTGACAGATCAGGCACAAATCAAATAATTTAGGTCTGGGTCGACGCATTTCTAGATTTACGCTAAATTGGGGTTGGGCGGGTCCGAGTTTTACATACTTTTCACATGTCCGCTCTCGAGTTTAGGCGAATCTAGTTCAAAAATCGACCTACTCTCTCTCCTACATATATTGAAAATACTCATTTTTTAAAAGTTCACTGTTCGAATCTCAGAAGTTCACTCTCGACAAGTAATCAAAAATTGAAACTAGGTAGAACTATTGTACTATGAAACTATGCATGGCAACGAATAAATAAATAATGGGTAAATTACAACCGAACCGAGGTATGATCAAATTACAAAACAAACCCCTCTTGTTTGGGTAATTACAACCACTCCTCAACTATAAATCTTCTTACACGTTCATCTTTGCGGTTTCAAACTTAGTAGAATCTTCGAGATTATATGGCAAATTATCACTTTTGTACCCATTTTATCTCATTCTAACTCCACATTTTGAGGCAAGATGATCATAATATGTGTTTTATGGCTTGTATATCTCAGATTGTGGTGCATCATAAACTGTATTTTTACACAAAACGAGTACAAACTAGAGCACATTCCACGAAATCTGGATGATTATGTTGAATTTGACACCATACGGATTGAGATGTAAGAAAAAATCATACTTGAGGGATAAATGTAATTATCCAAATAAGAGGGGTTCTTTCACAAATTGACCATACCTTAGAGGTGATTGTAATTTACCCATAAATAAAAATAAAAATAAAAATAACATACTGCGCCTCACCTACTGCACAATTAATCACCAAATAAATATATCATATAATAAATTATTTAATTACTTAAATAGATCATATAATAAATCTGCAAATGTGGCCATGTGACTCGGCTTTGATTTTCCTCTTATTTCAACAATTAATTTAATATATAATATATAATATATAATTAGTTTTCGTATATTTGAAGGACTTATCAAAGTCAATATATTCGGCTTCAATATTCATGCAACATCAAAACTTACTCGTAAGTTGTGATACTGTTTTCACTAATATTAATTAAATGAAATTTTGTCACTCTTTCAAATTACTACTAATTAATCTTTAATTAATTAAGTAATTAGAGCATGTGGAAGAGTCTTCATTAGCACAAACTAGGGGCCTGATTTGTGGTTGTCTTCTTGACTAAATATAACGAAATCCCACATGCAAATTAATTTTCAGATCTTCGATGTAAAATTAAATCAATGTTTTAATTTTGTACTATGATCTTGTAGTATTGTTACATGTATATATAGAAAAAAAAAATTGTGGATTTTGACTATATCATAAATTATAACGAATAACTCCTTTGACAATCTCTTAACTCTAATCACGTACAATAGTGTTAGAGAAAATTTCACTTCGCCCCCTCAAAACTTTCAAAATTTCCAATTTACCCCTAAAAAATACCCCCCCCCCCCCCCCCCAACAAAATGTAATACTGAAATTAAACTTTTTAAAAACTGGGGGGCACTAATGAAAATTTCAATTTTTTTGAGCATAGTGTTTTGTTTTTGTATTTTATTGCTGATGTTTTCGAAATCAAGAATGGTCAATGATTACAACATTGGATGCTAGCTGATTACACGCCTAATGCTTAGCATTTTGCACATTATTAATTAATTATTTATTATGAATTAAATAATTAGATCAGGAGTCTCTTTCACTAATTTATATATTGTAAAAATGATTTTTTTTATTTATTTAATGAAGTAACTCGCAGCCAACCATATAAGCGCATCGGGTAAAATTACACTCTTTGTAAATTATACGAGAGACATAAACTCCACTAGGCTAACCATGTGTGACAAACTCGATCTAACGAACGTTAGTAAGAAAATTCGAACTTGGGTTAATTGACATAAGTTCACCTGCTTCAACTGTTAGACCATGCTCGTAAAAAATGATTTTAAGTCCGTTGGTCACTACTCACGGACATTAATTACGTCGTAAGACACAGTCAACAATGAAGTTAACTTAAATAAAAAAAAAAAAAAAAATAGTGCACCAGGAAAGAAAATCAGCAAAAAATAATTTAAAAGGTAAAAAAGTTAATACAAAGCAATTATACTAGATTTTTTTTTATTTAAATTAACAAAAAATAATTGAAGGCAAAAAGTTATTAACAAATTGAACAATTTTTTACCAAATTTGCGACGTGGACAAAATAAAATAAATATTCTACTTTTTGAGTAACAAAAGCAATAAATAAAGATTTACCATAAAATTGAAAAATCTGTAAAACAGTAAAAAGTTATTAGCTTTAAAATACTTTTATTACGAGATAAAATCATAAAAAAATAAAAAAAAAAAGCCGCTTTAATAATCTATCCATATTTTTCGTCGTGGTAGTTGGCTTTTAAATTATACTAATACAATTGAGTAATTTGTCCATAATTAAATTAAATTTAATTTCTAATGTGCATCAAGAGTTGTTCTCAAATAGTGAAATGGCTCTACCATAAACTTATATTTATAAAAGTTTACACTTTACACCCAATTGTCACTTCCCCATATTTTAATTTCAATATTATTCTCCAGCTAATAACTGTAATTAATATTAATAATTAATAAAAAAAAGGCAGGGGTATAATGGTAAATGCAGCACCGTAAGCAAACCCGTAAACACAAACAAATCAAATTTCATTTAAAGTATTGTTCTACTTCCACTGCAACTCTTTCCTCCCTTTTAATTTCCACTTCTCTCTCTCTCTAGAAATCTCTCTCTCTCTAGAAATCTCATTCAAAAAAAAAAAAAAAAAAAGAAAAACCAGTCGTCGTAGGATTAATTCAATGGCGGCCTCAGCCATGAAGAAAGTGAACATGATCACCCAAATCGTACGGCTGAGGCACGTCGTCCAGCGCTGGAAAACAAAGAGCCTCACGCGCCTCCCAGACGGCCGCTACTCATCCTCCTCCGACTCCGAAGCGCCGCCGCCGCCCACATCGACTCGCCGGCGCACACCCTCCGGCTCGCTGGCCGTCTACGTGGGTCCGAACCGAGTCAGGTTCGTCATCCCGACCCGGTTTCTGAACCTCCCGGTGTTCGTCGCACTCCTCAACCAGGCGGAGGAGGAGTTCGGGTTCCAGACCGCCGGCGGCCTGGTGCTGCCGTGCGAACCGGGTTTTTTCCGACAAGTAGTCCGGTTTCTCGAGGAGGACGAGGAGAGGTTCCGCTGGATGGGGCTGGACGAGTTTTTGAACGTCGTTTCTGAAGCCGCCGGTTCGGAGTGTTATAACGAGCGTCCGTTGTCTTGTAAGAAGTCTTCTTCTTCTTCGTCCGCTTCTTTCACGCCATTGTTGCCCAAAACTAGGGTTTGATGAAGCTACGCTCTGACGGCGAATAATAGACTATTTTATTTTTCTTAACTTATTATATTTTATATAATATTAAATATAAAAATAGGGGTTTAATTGACAAAGTAATGTGTGATTTAGTACCCCTTTTGTTAAATCTAGGTTATGATAGTATTAATTACATCCTTGAGCTAGGCCAGATTTTTTAATGGTGGTTTTTGCTGGTTAATTATTCAAAGAGATGTCTCGTTTACATTGTTATTTTAATTTTATTTTTTATTTTTTATTTTTTTATATATATGATGATGATAATTTAATTTCAAATTGAAGTAAAACGGAAAAAAAAAATTCAATAGTTAAATTAGTTAATTAATTTATGTATACATATCAAAATATTATGTAACTAATCGACGTATTACCGCACCGATCACTAGGTCGAGATATGATTAACTGTAAGTTTCTTTATATTACGATCTCCTTAACAACTTTAGGGTTGATTCATCTAAAGTTACGTTATTTGTTGAACAAAAGAACGACATATGTGTAATGCGTAAATTTTATTTATTTTAGTGCAATAGCCTGCAAAATATACGAGAATCCTAAATCGGAGTTTTATATTTAATTTTAAAATTTAAAATCAATTTGTTGTTAAAGAGTCAGTATTAGTCTTCGTGGAATACAGGCCTTTCTCCTTGGTCAATTCATTTCACCCGACCTCAATGAATTGAGTTATTCCAAGTATTTTTCTTATTATCTTTTTTTTTTTAAAGTAGTGGCAATTATAATAAATGGACCCACATTTTATTTTATTTGTGATAGTTATGTTTTGATTATCTTTTAATCATCTTTAATGATTGAACTTTTAAATTTGCGTGCGGCTTGGTTTACAATCGACTCCAGCTCGAGTAAACTTTAATCGAGTCTTAGCAAGAATCGAGCTCGAATAGTTTGATTCTTTCTATATCTCATTGAGTTCGAACAAAAACTTATTCAAACTTAATTTGTTATGTTGACAAATCAAGCTCAAACGAACTTTTAACGAACGATCTTGAATCGAGTATCGACAAATTTAATTTAATTTTCGGCATTTGACTACAACCGATCCTATAAACCATTTCATAACTGATCATCATCATCATCCATATTTAAAGAAATTCACTTCTAATTCAAATAGTACTACTCAATATTTTTAATATATTAGAATATTTATATATATTTTTAAAATATATATACCAATAGAAGAATTGCGTGGATTTCTTGATTTCTCATTTTCATTTTCTATTTTTTTTTAAATTTTAGTGGTTGTCTAGTTGTGATTGGCTAAGACAATCTTTTTAAAGTTGTGCAGTGGGTACCTAGTCAATATTCCGAAAATATACTGAAACACTTTGTGACAAATTAAGATTGTATTACTTAATTTTGGCAATTCCCATGAGAGGTTGGCTCCTTATTTGCTTTGTATCTATTTTAATTTATATCTTTTTCTATTTCATTTTTAATCAACTCTTATTTATTAAAAAAAAAATTGAATAAAATATATAATATTTGTATGTTTCCACTATTATCCGAAATTAGGAAATATTGGAACCACATAATTAGGAAATATTCATTATCGCTATTGATTTTTTTTTTAGTAATTTACAGCCACCCGTCGAAATAAGGTCAAATTACGAAAAATCCATCTAGTTTGCTGGGTAATTACAACCACCCCTTAACTATGAATCTTCTTACACGTACACCCTTATGGTGTCAAATTCAACATAATCTTCTAGATTCCGTGGAATGTTCTTTAGTTTGTACTCGTTTTGTGCAAAAATGCAGTTCTAATACACCACGATTCGATATTTACAAGCCAAGATACATATCTTCTGATCATCTCGTTTCAAAATGTGGAGCTCGAATATGATAAAACGGGTACAAACTGAAGAATATTCCACATAATAAAAAAGATTCCACTAAATTTGACACATCCTCATAAATGGACGTGTAAGAAGATTCATAGTTGAGGAGATGACTGTAATTACCCAAACCGGAGAATTTTTTTCGTAATTTGATATTATGTGAGGGGCGTGGTCATAATTTACCCTTTTATTTTTATTAATTATTAGTAGTAGTATTATTTGTTTTGCAGAAAGCAGTTGGACAGCAGATCCATAAAGACGTTATACGTACGAAATAAGTACCATCTGTTATGAATGTGATGCCAGCGTCAGCTACCACTAATGACTCATTAATTTTAATTAATTAATTGATTAATTAAGTAATTAACTAAACCCATCAACTTATTTTAGACATTAATAATTGTCATTATTGCTGAACAACGCATTCGAAGTTTTAGTTATTTTTTTCTACAAATTCAAAAAAGTTTATGTTTTTATATGTTTGTTTTTTTTCGATTTTGTAATGATTCCACATGGTCAGAACTGCCCCTTCAAAATTCGAGTGGGGGGTTATTTAATTTATATATATAATCAATCAGTCACAAGATTACATAGAGAATCTCCCAAGTACGAACGAGATTAAGAAAATAATTGTAATTAAGAATGTTGCTAGTTGTTATTTTGTAGAACTAATTTGAACGAACTTGTGTGTTGCCTGCACAAATTTTTAAATATTTCAAATAAAGTTAATTTACATGATAAAATATGTGTAACTCAAATAATTTAATGTTATTTACCCTAATTGATACGGGCTGGATTGCCTTAAATATCCAAATAATAAAAAGTATGCGAACAATGTTCAACCAGGTCCAGTCTGACCCACTAAGCCATAACCCACTAAGCCAGTCACTAGCTCATCTAGGGTAGCCATAGGCGGCGGATGTAACTCTCTATTTACCCCATAGATAGAGAAAAACGGAAAGCCTACAAAACAAGGGAGAGAATCACCTGTGATTTAAAACGAAGTGATCGTAACTTGCGCTACTCCTGCCTATTTGAACTAACCCAACTTGCAAGACATGGGACAGCTCGCCTCCAACAGACAAACAACCCGAAGAAATCACATCACACTCACATGCAAATATGACCAGAAACATAAAGGGGAGCCCGCCATTCCTCACCTATGACATGTGTAAATACATGGTTGAAATACAAGGGAAGCATATACTAGATCGGTGTTCCAAATCCATCTTTCTCTCACTACATCACTTTAAGCACGAATATATTGTTTCCCCATAATTCCGACATACAGATCTGATCGTTGGCATGCCAACGCTGAAAAATCCTTCCACCAGAGTTCTTTTTAGAGGCCATATGTGACATTTTATTTGGACTTTTCTGGTTGCATGCTCATCCCATTCATTTATCACTAATTAGCAATGTAGGCTACATCACTAATACATTTGAAAACTTGTAAGATATTATGTGTTATGTGTTAAGTGTATATTTTTACACTTTATCGTACCTTTTTATTTGGGCTTTTGGTGTGTTTTAACGATAATTGGTGCTTAAAAAGTTGATTTATTGTATTTTAGGTACAAATTGAAGAATCGGAAAAGTATGGGGTCAAAACTGCAATTTTGGCAAAAATATGGGTCAAAAGTGAAAATATCAAAATTCTGAAGATTTAAAGCTCGGACCCCGTTCCAGTTTTAGTGCAAATTGTGAGACGATGAATCTTTGGACGCAAATTCAAAAGCAAAGAAGATCAACGAAGATTCAAGCATAGTTTTTCTTATTTTTATTTATTTTATTTTCTTTATCATAAGAATCACGAGTAGCTAACTTTCTTATTTCTAGGATTTTATTTGGAACCCTATGTGGGATTTATGAACCCTTTTCTATGATTTTATGCAAGTTTTAATTCCGGATTATTTCTTCTACTTGTTTTATTAAGTGCATGAACTTGATCAACTTATGTGCTTTTATGTTATTGTTAATCGCATGAATCGGAAGATCGGGTTAATAATTAGAACTGTGGTAGAAGAGCCTTTGTGGTATTAACATAGGAATATAGTTAATCTCTTAGGTAGCCATTATTGAGATTTGTGTTTAATGCTGTGTTCTAGAATTAATTGCATAGGAATATAGTAATTGAATCTAGAGTATTAGAATCGTAATACACGCGGAAGCGGGTTATGATTATTTTAGCATCTCAGGTTAATAATCCGGGTTAATTACTTGCATACTTGAAGGAATTGGGGGAATAATAATCACATAGGGGGAATAATAAAATCCTAGGATTGCTTATCTTGATTAAATCTTCGTTTTAAATTGTTTTCTTGTTTTTGCTTGTTTTTAATTTAGTTTAATTTAGTTAATTCTCTCTAAAATTCGACTGTGTAGGGTGGGCTTGATAATAATTGGTAGAATTTAGCGTCTAGGATTAGATAATTAAATATTCCTTGTAGGTTCGATATCCGGACTTTTAGTCCACTATATTACTTGTACGATACGTGCACTTGCGTGTAGGTTTTCGGCCAACATTATGTATAAGGCGTTAATGAAATTTTTGGCTAAAATACTTAAACATATGCAACTTTACATATAAAATTTAAATAAAATAGAATAGTAATTATATGCAATATTAAACTCAAGGCATAAGGGGTAGAAGGGTAATTAATGTCAACTGTCAAATGAGTTATTTACGGCATGTGAAGGTGGGGTTTATATACTTATATTTATAGGAAAATAGTACAAATACGGAATATAAATTTTCCGAAAGTAAAATCAAACATATTCACATCAATGTTTTGACTGTTAAAGCAGTTATTTATTTAGTTATTTGTTGTACGGCTGTCTAACTGTCAACTACTGCACTGCCCCCCATTTTTTAATGCTATTGCTAATAAATAACTTGGTAATATTGGTAAAGGGTAATTCTGTCATTTGATCCAAATTTAAATTTAGGGTAAACTTACAACCACCTCCCTTAAGTAAAGTCTATTTACTAAAATTCCCATCATTTTTGTCAATTTCTTACATCCAATCCACCACCGGTGTTAATATAAGAAATCAACAAATTGCAAGGGTGTATGTAATTATAATGAAAGGGTGGTTGTAATTTACCCTTAATTTTATTTACCTATCGTGATGATCGTTTAATTTTTATTTGTTTAACATTTATGATTTATCTATATATTTTATGTAAATTTTATTTTCCATATAAAATATGTATATTTTTGGGGGAATTTTATTAGTTTTAAAATATATATGTTCATTGAATTAAATTGATTATAATTTTTATATGGAAAATTTAAATTTCAATAGTGACTATAATGAAAAACAAGCCAAATTAATTTATGTCTCTACAAAAAGTACTTTCGACTTATAATTGTTATTAAATATTTCCCACGTGTTTCATTGAAACCCAAATTGACCAAGTAAACCAACTCGGGCCGAATATATAACGGGCCATAAAATCTTAATTCATAAATGGCTGTAGTGGGCCCAAAACAATGACGGGCCTACGGCCCAATTCCAAATAAAAAAACTAAAAACATATTATATTCAAATTTAATTAATTAAGTAATTAATTATTGAAATTCAAAATTTCTTAACACAATTTCCGGAGAAAAAAAACAGAAGAAAAATCACTTGCTCAGATATTTGAGCACCACCGAAACTTCACAGATCACTCTCTCCTCCGTTACACCACCGTCGCGCCGCCGTCTCTACTTATGGCCACTGGTGGAGCGGTTTAATTTTTCTTCAAAATTCGCGCTTCTCTATTCCAATTACAAGCGAAATGGAGACGCAATTCCTCCACAATTTCACAATTCCAAATTATCGTTCTCCGAAATTCAGCTCGAAGAAGTATCTCCGGCGCCGGAAAAACGAACTGAATGCCGGAATTACAAGTAAACCTTTCGAAAATTCCGGAACCAACCCTAACCCTTATATAACATTAAGCACCGCGAGTGGAAGAGGTGATGCGGAGACCGCGGTGGTGGTCGAGAAGCCTCCGCCTAAACCGCCTAGTTTCGAGGTCTTCTCCGGCAATCCGATGCCCTTTGGCGCCACGCCCGGTGACGGCGGCGTCAATTTCTCAGTTGTTTCAAGCAATGCTTCTTCCGCCACTCTCTGCTTGATCACTCTTTCTGACTTACAGGAGGTGAATGAATTTTTATTGTTTTTCTTTTTTTAATTGTCAATTCCGTTTCTATGTTGATCTGAATGTGAGAAATGGCTAATTTGCATTGCTTTGTATTCTAAGTGATTTTTTCTTCATTGAAATTATTGTTTGCAGAGGAGAGTTACTGAACAAATTGCTCTAAATCCACTAACGAATAAAACCGGAGATGTATGGCACGTTTTTCTGAAAGGCGATTTTGAAGATATGGTCTACGCATATAGATTCGATGGAAGTTTCTGCCCCGAGGACGGACTATACTTCGACTCTTCTAAATTGTTGATTGATCCTTATGCAAAGGTCAGTTGGTCTGTTTTGCTTATGGAACTTTGTTTTTTCTTTCTTGTGAATGTACAACTTTTTTATGACTCGTTCGTCTTTGTCTTGTGAAGTAGGCTGTTGTGAGCAGAGGGGAATATGGTGCTTTAGGAACCGGTGACGAATGTTGGCCTCAAATGGCGTGTTTGGTGCCTTCTACTACCGATGAGGTATGTCATGATAAATGACATTTATGTTTAATAAACATTTGAATTACGTATATTCCAATCGGATTGTCATACATCGATTATGTGCTTTTACTAAATATGCCAATGTTTTATTCTTCATTAATCCCAAACCAGTTAACTTAAATGATTCTTGATCTCTTTTTTATTTTATTGGTCTTTTTGCTATTTCAGTTTGATTGGGAAGGAGATTTGCCCTTAAAACTCCCACAAAGAGATCTGTTTATGTACGAAATGCATGTTCGTGGGTTCACAAGGCACGAGTCAAGTAACTCGAAATATCCCGGCACTTACCTTGGTGTGGTGGAGAAACTTGATTACTTGAAGGTAAAAAGATTCATTATTCAAATTGAATTTTCTTTCTTAAGCAGGCTTGTTTGTTCTGAGTTTTTACTATCATTTTTACTGTTATGATTTAGTTGTAGTAATAGACTTACGAGTTTTACCTTATTGCTTGTAGCTTCTTGAATATGCAGTCCAAAAGTAGTAAAAATTATTATTTCTCGGCCGACTTGATTTTTTATAAGCGTTTCAAATGACTTATAATATTGCTATATGCTGTTGCAGAAACTTGGTGTAAACTGCATCGAACTAATGCCGTGTCATGAATTCAACGAATTGGAGTACTATAGCTACAACCCAGTCTTGGGTGACTACAAGTAACTTCAATCTTACTCTCTTTCTACTTTAGATTTGTGTGCTACACTTTGGATAGCTTAGATTTATATATTACTATTTCGAGGGTTATATTCAGGTACCTTTTTAAAATAATAATTTACAAGGGTTCTCCTATCAAATTTGTACGACATTGTTTTATTTCCAGGATGAACTTTTGGGGGTATTCAACGATCAATTACTTTTCACCGATGGCAAGATATTCTTCGAGTGGTATTGGTAATTACGGCATTGGTGCTGTAAATGACTTTAAGTACCTAGTTAGAGAAGCGCATAAGCGAGGAATCGAGGTAAAACTTCCTTAATCACGAACGAGCATATTTTCGGATGATACTTCTTTATGGTTCTTCATTTGTTTTAGCTTTTAATTATTCAATTTAACAGGTGATTATGGATGTTGTTTTTAATCACACTGCTGAAGGGAATGAAAACGGGCCCATATTATCGTTCAGGGGTCTCGATAATAGTGTCTTCTATATGCTCGCACCTAAGGTACACTCGATTGCCCAACATTATGGAATATTCTTTTTGATTACCCCTGAAAGGATAATCGACCCCTCTAATCTATTGTTTGACAGGGTGAATACTACAATTATTCAGGCTGTGGGAACACATTCAACTGCAACCATCCAATTGTACGACAATTTATTGTGGATTCCTTGAGGTAGAATTCAAACGAGTGCATGTCGGTACAATCAATTGAGATTTAATCATAGAACACACATAACATTTTTTCGCTATTATCGATCAAACTCGTATTGAACACGTTTGATATTTATTTATTTGGCATTAGTCCTGATTCTGAAACAGATACTGGGTTACAGAAATGCATGTTGACGGCTTTCGATTCGATCTTGCTTCTATCATGACAAGGAGTAGCAGGTTAGTTGACCTATATCATCCTTCCTTTATCTAGTCTTCCTTCTTATTCAATACGAATTACTGTATTACCCCTGGTTTTCGGTCTATCCAGTCTGTGGGATGCTGTAAATGTATATGGTAGTGCAATTGAAGGCGAGACAGTCACGACTGGTACTCCTCTCGGGAGCCCTCCATTGGTTGACATGATCAGTAATGATCCAATACTCCGTGGAGTAAAGGTATCTAGTTTTCTATTGAGCTCGTTTTAACTATTTGAAACTTTGGGTGGAAATTGGACTCGAATTTCCAAATGTCCACCAATTCCGATATTTCTGATCTTTTTTGGACCGGAATTGGTATCGATATGAGATTCCATATCCTATCCGATTTTAATTTCCGAAAATCCCGACTTTTGTTTTTCGAAAATTGCACTTGTAATGTCAATAATATTATGCATTTTTCTTTTTAAGTGACTAAAAAATTAGAACTTTCCGAATTCTGCTTATCCGATCCGAAAATTTCCGTTTTTCTGATTTTTTTTGGAGCAGAATTGGAATTAGGTTTTCCACTTCCGAAGTGTTAATCCAGTCCGAACTTCCTGATTTCCACCCCTATCCGACACCCTTTTTTCCCCTCGTTAAGAACAGTTGGAAAAGTACTGAGTATGAGGATAATTTTGTCCTTTCTATTGTCTTCTGACAAAGACCTCAAATTTTATCTATGTTCGTGCATTCTTTCTTGATCAGCTAATAGCTGAAGCATGGGACTGTGGTGGACTTTATCAAGTCGGCATGTTTCCGCATTGGAGTATTTGGTCGGAATGGAATGGGAAGGTAAAATGCTTTTGAACAAATTCGTCTCATACTATATATATATATATATATATATATATATATATATATATATATATATATATACACACACACACACACACGTCATAACCCAAAATTTAAATAATCCTTTTTTTTATTTGTTTCAGTACCGTGACACTGTAAGGCAATTCATCAAGGGCACAGACGGATTTTCCGGGGCGTTTGCTGAATGTCTCTGTGGAAGCCCTAATTTATACAAGGTATATCTCATTTAAGGTTTCTACAATGCTATAGATCTTAATACGTATTTTTCTAAATATATTTTTTTATTATTATTTTAATCTCTGTTATTGTTGATCGAAATCAGGAAGGTGGAAGGAAACCATGGAACAGTATCAATTTTGTTTGTGCGCATGATGGTTTTACTCTGGCTGATTTAGTGACGTATAATAACAAGCATAATTTGGCTAACGGCGAAGAAAACAAAGACGGGGAGGATCACAATAATAGTTGGAACTGCGGCCAGGTCAATTTTCAAAAAATAATAAATAAAAATATATGATCTGATTCATCTGTATCGGAGAACTTCCGTTGTTATATTTTCTTGTTTTAAATTTGTCTCAGGAGGGAGAATTTGCAAGTATTTCAGTGAAGAAACTGAGAAGGCGCCAAATGCGAAATTTTTTCCTATGTCTGATGGTTTCTCAAGTAAGACACTTTTTATTTTTACTTTTACTTTGTTTTTCATATTAACAGAAAAAATAAAAAAAGATACACTCGAAATTAATGTGTTTGATATGAGCAGGGTGTTCCAATGATCTATATGGGAGATGAGTATGGTCACACAAAAGGGGGAAACAACAACACGTATTGCCATGATAATTTCGTAAATCCTCTAATTTTGCACTCGAAATCATTTTATTAATCAGACACTCTCTCCTGAAATTATTACCAACACGTTTTTTTTTTTACGTTTTATTATTTGCAGATAAACTACTTTCGGTGGGATAAGATGGAGGAGGCCTCGTCTGATTTCTTCAGATTTTGCTGTCTCGTTTCCAAATTCCGCCAGTATGCTTTTGATTTTAATCGACATTTTTTGCTTTAAATGACGCTCGTAAAATCATCTGTTTATTTTTTTCAGTGAATGCGAGTCACTTGGCTTAAACGACTTCCTAACAGCAGAGAGGCTGCAATGGCATGGCTATGCTCCAGGAATTCCCGATTGGTCTGATACAAGTCGATTCGTCGCATTCACACTGGTATATCTATATATACATTTTCTTGCTACTGGATTTTTTTTTGTAATGGATGCTTATGATATCTTTATTTATTTATTTTTCCTATTATAACATGCCATTCACTTTCTTATTACAAAATCGGCAGAGGGACTCGGTGAAGGGTGAATTGTACATTGCATTCAATGCAAGTCACGTGGCCGTGACTGTAGCATTACCCGAACGACCTGGTTACAGGTGGGACCCGTTGGTCGACACAGGCAAACCAGCACCTTTCGATTTCATCACAGACGATCTACCTGATCGACAGGTGGCTATCAGACAGTACGCTCATTTCCTCGACAACAATCTGTACCCAATGATTAGCTATTCTTCGATAATTCTCTCGCTTTCCCCCGATACCACTACGTATAGTTGACTTCGAAACTCAGTTGACATTAATCTTTTTTTTTTTTTTTTGACATCAAATTATGCAAGACTCGACGATATTTGTACATGTATAGAAGGATCGTGCAGTATTTATTTTCTTTATGTGAATAAGATGTAATTAAATACGAGAATGGAGAAGAGCAATAATTGCCGAGGTAACTAAGAAAAGTGATATCGGCAAATTTACAAGAAAAAACCGTAAAACTTCTACCGCGTTTAGCTAGCTATATAGCTAACAATCAAACATTTAACTGTAATACCGAAAAAGTAAAATTGCTACAACCAATCTACAGCCTACATTGTTCTTACATTGTTATTTTTTTTTTCTACGTCGCCTTCTGCTTCTCCACGGATTTCTAAAAAATAAAATAAATAAATAAAAATACAGGGATTGAATCGCCCTTGAATTATGTCACTCACCTCAAGTAAACATATCTCAAAATTTTCTAGTACCAAATTTTTTCGTTTAGTCCGCCGATACGTATTTCTTTTCTGCATAATATTTCTTTTCGCTTGCTTCTTTCTTGGCGTTTCGTTTCTGTGGAAATAGAACAATAAAAGAATATTCTTTCAGTAGTCGTAGAGTATGTTCTTTCATTACTATAATAGGTTGAAGAAGAATACCTCATAAATCTCATGATTAGCAATAATCCTACGAGCTATGGAAGTGCTCGTAATATCTTTTGGGCTATCGAGCATTTGAAAAATTCCTGTACTTTTGGGGAGTGCATAGGGATCCGACTTTCCCTGCATAATTTAATTGCCATTTTCAGCATATATAATCATAAATTAGCTGATCACAATTTACAAGTAGAAAAAAAAAATACTTCCGACTTACATTCAAGAAAGGGTTGTTCTCTGAAATTGTACCGTGGACGACCAACGATATGTTAAAAGTTGTGATCTAACAAGATAACGGAGGATTTTTAATAACAAAAAAAATTATTCTCGAGTAAACGATTAAAGAAAAATATATATGTATATATACACACACACACACGTGCGTGATGAGTACTTACCATATCTTTAGTAACTTCCCAAGGTGCACCAATGATGACCTCATCAACATAACGGCATGCCAGCACACTAAGGCTTCGTTCATGGAGATTCATAAGTGGGAAATGACTACCTCGAAGCTCACTGCATAAAACGAAATTCATCATGCCTAATATTGCAAATTTTTATTCTTTTTTATGTTAATACTATTGTTTCTTCATGGAAATTTTGCAAATAGAGTTGCAAGTATTACGCAGAGCAAAAAGTCGTACCTAACAGTGTGATCAGCGTAAACACCAACAAGAAGAAAATCTCCGAGTTGTCTGGCACTCTTTAGAATCTGTGCGTTCGAGAAAAAAGCAATGCAACTCAAAATATTATATTATATTAAAGAAACTTCAACGACAGTACTATTTACATGGTAATTAAGAGGGAAAAAAACGTCTCTCGAATCCAAATGCAAACAAAGAGAATAAAGGAGACAAATTTTATCACACATATGCATGCCAAAATCTAAAAGATACTTTTTTTGCCGATGGGATCAACAATTAAAATGTGATCCGAGTAAAATTATTTAATGAGCAGTTACGAATTCCAGTGGTCATTTACGAGCAGGATGTAAATTCCAGAATCTAAAAGTAAGAAATATGAGATACACTAAAGCTATATCTAATTTAGAGAAGAAAGACGGGAAATCGAAAGTAAACCATTCCATGGAAGCTTAATGAAGTACAATAATAATACCTCCACATGTCCAGCGTGAAAAATATCAAAAGCGCCATCAATGTAAACAACACGAGAATTTGGTCCAGGTCCCTGAAATTACACAAAATCACAGGAATGCCACTGTACTTCACAATTCAGACTACACAATTCTCTTTCAATTATTAATGACCAAATGCAATATAGTAAGCTAAGCTATCCAGTCGTATTTTTAAATATAAAGACAAATGTTAATCACTTGACTAATTGTTCAGTTTCTCGTTAAAAAAAGGCCATTCAAGTATATGGTATCCCAGTTTATAAGAAACGGAGACATTGAAAAGGTTATTACCAAAACGAGACCCGAAAAAAAGTCAAACATACCTTGCCATTCGAAAATTGCACAATTCTTCTAGAAGTAGGTAAGAAATGAGATACATGGCCACCGTTAACTAAAGGTTTATTGCTTAAGTTATCAAATTCGCCAACTTGAGATACTTTGTCATCTTTTACATCTTCGATACAGGAAAGAATCCTTCCTGCATATACATATAAATGTCGCATTTAAATTAATGATATAGTCATACATCACTCCTCGGATTAAATCGAGACTCCAATAAAGAAACGATAAAAGTATAAATATTATAGAGTAAGAGGAATACATTACCTACAATATCTGTACTGGAGACACCTTCAGTGCGTTTAATCTGTTTGTAGCGACCAACTTTCTTTGCTAGAGCATAAGCATCGGTTCCGTCGGGAAGTAAGCATGGATCGTCACCATGTATAATATAGTCAATTTTATGCTCTTTAAAAAGTCGATTCATAAATTCTTCGGTAATTTCATAGGGAGCATTTGGAATTACTTCGTCCACCCATTTTAACCCACTAACAAGGGCCAGCCTGAAAAAAAAAAATTTGTTAGAGTTACGGTTATGTTCCGAATCCAACATTTAATCAATTTCAAGATTTAGATCGTGAGTTCAGAGTGGCAAGGCAACATTAATATGGAACGTAAGAAGCTACAAAAAAACAACAGCAGAATAAAATATAATAAATTCACACCGTAGCCGATTACTCATGCGATAGAATTAACCAAAATTGGGTCAGTCAATACAGATGTCGATAACACGAGTTGGCCTCGGGATTGAAAGAGGGGGGCCGGCAGAAAAAAATGCAAAAAATTTCAAGAACTAGCGAACATTAAATTACGGAAAATCATGGGAGAAAGTTCCGATTTCTAAAAAGTGATGATTTTTGTTTGTTTCGAAATAGATTCGCCAATCCTTTTCTTCGATTATATTTTAATTGTCCTTCAAAACAACGACCGAATTAAATTGATTACGAACACGTGATATGCATGTGTAGGTACCTCTCTGGCATCGATAAAACTGGAGGGCCTTTATTGGCTATGATCTCCTCGTCACTTACAACACCGACAACCAATTCGTCGCCCAACGCCTTTGCTTGTCTAAGTGCATTAGCATGCCCGTAGTGCATCAAATCAAAACATCCATCCATATACACACGAACGCGTTTCTTGGCAGATTTCTTCTTATGAAAAACCCTCAAGTCGGGAAAAAGGTAATGCATTGGTGGCACACCAATTATACCGAAGTAGCTTGTGGAGAAACTGAGCAGTGCACATGTAATCATAATACCACCAAAGAGATGCGGGTAGAAATAACCCCCGTCTTTTATCCAGCTGCTGCTTTCGAATTCCATCTTTTTGTTTGTTTTTTTTTTGTCTTTAAGAGCGTTTTCGTAATCCGTGTAAGAGGAGACACAAACCTGGAAATCATCAAAACCAAAATGAGTAAAAGAACTATTCCACTTCAGCAATTCTAAAGCATCAAATTACATCGGAACAATTCGGGATTCAGGAATTGAACAGGAAATTAAAGAATTAAAGTTATAAGATCTGGGCAGATAATACAAGGATCATCCTTGAAGCTCAGCAAAGAAACTGTATTAAAATCGGAACAGCAAATCCAAACAGACAAATCATCAAACACCTGGTGTTCATCTACATAACCCACAAGACATTCTAACCTAACTACAAAATTCACCACGCTGCAATACAAAAAACTTCAGAAAACGATCCAAATAAAAATAAATCGTCAACAAATGAACCTGAGGAAAGCTGAAGATGGGTTATTGAGAATTTCAAGAAAAAAATCTGTGCATAAATAAATAAATCCGCAACATACGCGTGAATTGTGTGAATAAAAATACGAATCCCACGTTGTAAATTGCGCTAAAAGTTAAACGAATTTGTCAGAAATCCAGATTCTAACACAAAAGTAAATGTGGGTGACCTGTGAGATGAGAGAATCTTCACCTTTTTTTTTTTCTTTTTTCTTTTGGTTCGTGTCTGCGTCTCCTCTAGTGGGGATGTGTTCAAAATACCAACCTCGTTTGCCCTGTAAGAAATTGATTATTAAAACAAAAGAAAGATGGGATCTTTTTGTTTCGAGAAGAAAAAATAAAAATAAAAAAATGGGGAATTTCTGAGAAAAATGGGGATTTAATAAATGAAAGAATATGCTTGAATTTTCGTGAATCTACCACGAACACGGAGACCCCCAGAAATTTCAGCTGAAGTGGGAATCGATTTTATTTTTTTTCCTGACAAATTTAGGACCAAGCGAAGGCCTTGTAACGACTTGTATGTATATATGTATGTATATGTGTGTGTGTTGTGTGTGTGTGTGTGATCTGTTTGACGTTGACAGGTAGGATATTTGACTTGAAAACTAACGTCGGCGAGTGGAGTAACAACACAGCCTTTTCTTCTATTTTTCTATTTTTTTATTAAAATTAAAATTAAAATTTTAAAATAATTACATCTAATTTAATTCCGCAATTAGAGATGTAAATCGAGCTGGCAATCGGTTCACGTTAGTCGAGTTTGTGTTTGTTCAAGCTTATATATACTATTGAGTTTCGTTACTCTGGGATCCAGCTCATATACCATCGAGCATCATTAGTATAGGTTCAACATCGACTCATGTATTTTTTTTTTCAGATTTCGAGTTTATATCAGGAATCGTTACTATAGAACTAACTATATTGATTTATTTTTTTATTTTTTTCTTACGAAAAAAAGTGATAAACAAGAGAAACTCTTAATCACTGAAATCAATCCAAATAAACTCTTAATCGGCCGGACCTTATTCGAGTTGAAGCATAGTAAAGTCAAACTCGGCTCATAAATATATCGGGTTTAATAAAATTGTTCAAACTCGGTCGAACTCACTCAAAAATAGACTCTGCTTTTGTCGAGCCATCGGACTTTGGTTAAGCCCGGTCCTAGATGTAAACGAATCAAATTAATTTACAATTGTACAAATTTATCCAAACCTGCTTAGTTCACATATACTAGCTAGAGCTCGATAAAACGAGAACGACCAAATACAATGTCAAATTTCCGATGTAATAAAAGAGTAGAGAAATTAATTTGTCGGCCTACAAAATAGTAAAAAATATTAGATAATCAATTTGTGCTCGTTCGACAATTGCCCGATCGATAACGTTCAAGTCAGAATCCACGAATCGACGAAAAAAAATTAAAATTGTATAAAATCAAAATAAATCATATTTAGAAGTCAGAAACCATGAACCGGCGGAAAAAAAGTTAAAATTGTATAAAATCAAAATAAATCATATTTTTTTTGTGGCCCAATTGAAAGTGGATTTTATCCAAGACTTGTTGGGCCAAACCCAATAATGTATGTCATAATTTAATATAGTGGAAATAAAGAATTGTACATTTTAAAAAAATAAAAAAATACTATGATTAAATTAAATATTAATATTAGGTGGAATAATTGAGTAGACGAGATGAGACGAGACCTAATTTGAATTTTCTTTGGTTACAAATTACAATGACTTAATTAATTAACTAATTAATTAATAAATTAATATTCCGTTCGGACCACTGTATGCGAAAGTGCCAAACAAAACCTACTTTACCAAAAATTTCCAAAAAAGAACGCGTTTTTCTCCTCTTTTTTTGCTTTTCTTCACACACCCAAGATTCAAGAAATCAATTGTAAGAAATTGATTCTCTCCGAAAACCAAGCAAGAGAAAATAAAGGAAAAGAGGAGAAACCGAATCACAGTGACCCGGTTATGAAGGAAAAGCAACCCATTCCGATCCCGCCGCCGCCGCCGCCAAACGGCGTCGTTTCTGAGCGGACGGCGGAGCCCACGCTCCCCGACGATCTAATCGTCGACATCCTGTTAAGGCTGCCGGTAAAATCCCTGGGTAAGTTCAAATGCGTTTCGAAGCAATGGCGTCGCTTAATCACAGACCCACGTTTCAATTCTCTGCACAGAGAGCTCTGCTCGAAGAACCCTAGCATTCTCATGGTGAAAAAGTACCCCCTTTTACGGGAACCCCACATGAGAAAATGCACCACCGTCGATCTCTGCGCCTTTAATTTTAATGGGTTTCGAAAAAATCTCGAATTCTCGCTGTATTTAGACGACGACGAGAAGAACATCGAAATGCTGCCATCGAAGCGGGGCCTCGTTTGCTTCGTGAGCGAGAGTGGGTTCTACGCGTGCAACCCTAGCACTCAGATCACGACGAAATTGCCCGAGGCGAGCTGCTGCACCTCGGGCGAGGTGAACGCCGGGATGGGGTACGTGGCGGAGACCGACGAGTACGTGCTCGTGCATTTGTTCGATCGGAGTTTGGATATCCACGTGGATTACGACATCGGTTGCGAGGTGTTGAGGTTACGCGATGGCGAGGATTGCTCTTGGAAAGTGGTCGACGCGAATTGCCCCTTTGTCGTTCGGGGGTGGGGCGTTTTGGTAAATAACGTTTTCTATTGGATGATTTGGGACGAGTATAATGAATTAGGCGATGAGGCGATTGTATCGTTCGATCTTGAAAAGGAGGAGTTTGGGATTGTGGCTCCGCCCGAGGGGTGCTTCGATCCGCATGGCGCGTGGTCGTTGGTCGAATTGGGTGGGAGGTTGTGCTTGGTGGATAACGCGGCTCGGCCATCGACTATGGATATTTGGGTGTTGACCGATTCGGAGAGCCGGGGTTGGGTTAAGGAATATAGTATTCATATGAGCGCGTATAGTAACGATATGTTGAGCTTTATTGCTCCGTTGGATTATTGGAACGGGAAAATTGTGATGGATGTGAAGCAAGAAAGTCTCGATTTTTACGATGTGGAGGAGAAGAAAATCGAGAGGATGGATCATTTGATATCGGGGGAGTGGAATTGGCTAAGGACTTACACCGAGAGCTTCTTTTCGTTCGGAAGCAAATAGTTACGGTGATTCTTGATTGATGCCGGCTTTTTTTTATGGCACTTCGTCTCTTATCTATGATCGTTGTTATATTAAGATATACTGTTAAATGTTTCGTCTGGTTGGCAAAATTCAATTAAATTCGAACTTTAGTTTACGGATGCTTGTTATTTTAAAAAAAGCTTTTCCTTAGACGAACGTTTTTGCGGTCTTTGGAAAGCTTTGATCTTGCGATTGATGTGTGATTAGGTGGGCTTGTGAAATTTGTGACATTGATCAGAAATATTGTATTTGAATTGGATTGGTATAAATTTCTGTTCTCTTTCAGATGATTTTTTTACGGCTCTTTACTTTTTCTATCGGCTATATGTGAACGAGTTCTTCCTTCCGACACTCGACACTAGTGCGCGAATAGATCGGTTTAAAAGGTACTATCCGCAATCTCGTTCTTTCGGTGATTAGTTTCCAATAATATTTTTTTTTTCTCGAAAACGACGAAGTTGACGGGCTTAAACTGAATTTTGTTTCGAGTATCTTGTTTTTACTCTGTTTTCGCTTAGTAACATTATCGAAGTTGCGTAATGATAAAGAATGAATTATTAGGTGGAGTCAATTGGATTGGACCATCGGTTAACTTAATCATAGGAGTAGGCCAAGAACGAATTAGCAATAACAAATATTATTCGATCCATTAAACGATAAAGCAAACGAGTATACTACACATATGTACGTTGTACGGTATCGTTACATATTGCATTAATAGGAGCATAAAGATTTTGAAAATTACAGTATCGTATTATGCAGTGGAGCATTCGGTCGGAAACCCTTGCGGAAATCGCTTAGAATCGGTGCAGTAGTTATAAATCATGTAATTCTTCTGCACCCATTTTATTCGTTCTTGACCGGTAATATCCAACGACTGTGAGAACCAAGAATTGACAGACGATTTTTTCGAGCAAGAACCAGCAGTACAAGCAAGTGCGTTGAAGTTCGCGTAAGAAGCCGTAAAAGGTGCCTTTGTCCAATCGGTTTTCACAAGCCCGCCTCGTGTTGCCCAATCATCTGCGTTCCAAAGGCTCGAGAATATCCACATCGGCTGGCTTTTCGGGTAAGACACCCCTTTCGATTCTTGATTCTTGAATTGTCTGATTGGTGTTCCGTCTACTGAGAATCTGCACGTTTTCACATGAATTTCAATTTTTTTTCCTAAAAAAAATAATAAAAAAAAACTCGTGTGAGTTATATTATTATTACTTACATGATGCTTTGCGGATTCCATAAAATCGAGTAGGTGTGAAAGTCTTTAGTGGGGTCGAACCATAGGTAGAATTGCTGCTCTCTGTTACCTTTGCCGAGTGCGAACACATTCGTGTGTAGAATATAAGGATCACCGCTTAAGTTACCGAGAAACTCGAAGTCGATTTCGTCGTGATTCTGTCCTAACGAAGATAACTGCAAGAAAAACGAACTGTATGATAAAAAAAAAAAACTAATACATACAACTGCTGTTATGTAATATATATGTATGTAATATGGGACTTACATAATAGGTAGTGACCGTGCCGGCAGAATTACCGGGAACGAGCTTTATCTGCATGTCGATCTTACCGAATAGATACTGATTCTTCGACCTAAATCCAGAACCGGAAGCCTTGTCTAAGGAAAGTGTAAGAAGTTTTCCGTTGTCGAGTATCTTCGCGCGCCCCTCGCCCCACGTAATATCGAAATCTTGGTTGAAGTTGCCGCAAATAGCAGCTGCAACGAAGCTTAGCAATACCGAAAGCAGAACATGTATCTTCATCAAAATAACGATCAATTTCAAGAACTCCCCTTTTTTTTTATAATAACGTATATATATATATATATATATATGTATGTATATATGTATGTAAATGAAGAGTTGGTGGTGTGCATGAAAGTGGGCAAAGGTTTATATAGGGTTTTCTTGTGGGGGTAGGGAAAGGGTGCATGCGTGTGCATGGTAAGGATATTGTGTGTTTGACTTGTCTACTGTGTGGAAGATTCATCACAGACAGCTGCTAATTCAGTCAATTTTTACATGCATGCAACCAGAAATTATTTTTATTTTATTTTTATTTTTTTGTTTTATATCATCCAAAACACAGCTGGCTGGATGTAACCATGCTATTGGTTATGATTGGTTTGATTTTTCAGACCTCAGAAACAATAGATTCTGCAGCTGGAAAATTGGATTACTCTCAAAATTGAAATTTGGAATTCAATTTTTTTTTTTTTAATTTTGTAATTTCAGTCCAATCTCATTCACAATTTTATTCCAATTTTATATATTTATGACATCATTAAATTCAAAGTCTATTATATATGTTTGCTGCATGCCAATTCAGCCAACTATATTATGGAGCTTTAAAATTGGCTACATTATATTTAAAACTTATTGTCAAATAATTGAGTTTCCAGCTGGACACCACTTAGGCCTTTTATTTATTTATTTATTTATTATTTTTCTTTTACTAGAGGAGGGTCCTCCTCCAACAATTCTTCTTTCTATCTTTAATTTCCCTCAACTAAAATGTGTTTTAAATCACTCATTTGAAAATCGATTTCAACAATATTTGGCATCATTTAATTATTTGAAAAGAAAAAAAAAATATTTAATAAATGCATGTACTTTTACTTCTAATATTCAACACTATATTAATTTTTCATTTATGTCCGATCAGTCCAATTTTCCATCCCTTCTCGTTTGCGTTGTTCGTTATATATGAAAAAAACAATGTAAATACGATCTCTTGTAGTACTTATATTTCATAAAACTATCCAAGATTTGTTAATCCATACTACCAAGTATATTTTGTGACAACATTTGTGACTCAATAATTATCATTAATCTTATACAATTTAGTCGATCTTGTTAATCCAATGTTGCCATATGTGACTCTTACTCAATTAGTTGATAAATAATTAATGACCATGACAATTTAACGATTTCTTTTTTGTTATAGTCTATACATATTTATTAATTTTCTTAATACGTACGTAACAATAAAAAGACGTAAGGGATGGCCTCGCGGTTGGAGCAGGTGAACTTCTGTTGACCAAGTTCGAATCTCCTTATCAACGCGGTCGCTAGGTCGAGTTTGTCACACATAGTTAATCTAGTGTAGTTTACATATCTCATATAATTTGCAAGCTATTATATGAAAAATTAAATTTACTCCAGTACACGTATATGACAAACTGCAAGTTCCATCGTTACTAAAAATACCAATAAAAAACATCGTATAATATAGAACGAATGGAGTACTATTGTTCAACTTAGTTGGCAAGTGTTTTTAATAATTGCAGTATGAGCAATAATTTTAGGTTCACTATTCCCAAGGAAGATAAGGGTTTCAATCTTTAATAGAGCATAAAAAACAAGTGGTTGTTAGCAAAAAGAATTATCCATGTCAAAATAATACACTAAGCTCAACAATAATTATGTATATCAACCCCACTTGAAAAGCTTATGTTTATCTTAAATCAAGAAATCAAGGTCTAATTAATGATTCAACTATAGTCATCCATTCAAGTGTTGTTTTCATGAATTTGTCCCTAGTTAGATGATGAAGCTATAACGTGTGCAAAATGCTTAAGAACCAATCTTTTTTTTTTTTTTTTTTAATAATAAAATCATAATAGATTTAATTTAAGGAAAAAAAAAAAGCTCTGTATCTAAGTGGGCCTAGGCCGAAAAATAAACCGAGGCCATAAAAGTAGTTTGGGCCGGGCTATTTGCAGGCCCAAATAATGACCCGGACTTGAGTTTAAGTTAAATCCGATAAAATATAAACATTTATTTTATTTGATATATTTAAATATTTATTTTTATACAATTAATGAATAAAAAAAAATTAACATAATAAATTTTATATTTTTCATTGATTTGAGTCATTTCAAATAATCTACACCAAAGAGAAGAAACCCCCCCCTTCTTCTTCACTCAAAAAAAAAAAAATATAATCTATCTTTATGGGGAATGGCATCAGATTTATAAAAAAAATATTCATATGATATTTTTTTGGCTGCGGCTATACGCAAGACTAATTCCACTTGTGCAAGACCAAATTAAAATTTTCAATGTATAAATACTATAATACCCTTATTTATTAAAAAAATAAAAAAATCCAAATATGCAAGACCAAAAATTCAAAAACACAAAAAACCCTACCACAAGACCAACTATCATCTTCTCCATCTTCCAAAACTCACAAGACCTTTCTCCTTCCTCCTCCATTAACCCACAAAACCTAGAAATTCAAAATCATCAAAACTCAACAAATCTTACAAAGATGGCAAGTATGGAGTCAGAAGACATCAAAATAGAAGATTCTACAATGGATTAACCCAAGAATGTATGCATTTATGGGTTTTTTTTAGCTAGAATATCGATTTTCCAAAAAAAATCCCGCGCAAACGAATTCGACATGTACATGTCGAATTTTACAGGTAAAAATCGACATTTAGATGTCGATTTTGAGGTATAAAATTCGACATTTGAATTTGTGCTACAAATTCGACATGTCAATGTCGATTTTTACCTATGAAATTCGACGCTTAAGTGTCGATTTGTAGCATAGTTTTTCGACACCTTGGTGTCGATTTTTGTTTTTTTCTCATTATTTGTATTTGGTCTTATATGAGAAAAAAAAGCCAATTTAATGTATGGGCATACTTGTCATTCCATCTTAATAAAATAGAATCTTTTGAAATCTTTCTTTAATTTGGTCTTGCACAAGTGGAATGAGTATTGCATATAGCCGCAACCTATTTTTTTTCTGGAATGCGATCAACATCGTTCCAGTTTTGATACCACCGTTTCGGCTTCAAACATAATTTGGACCGTTTTGAGTCTGAATTTGGCAAAATTCAATACATTTAATTTTCATGTTTTGAGTTATCTAAAATCTAAAATGTATTTTTTTTTTTTTAATTTACCTTGGGTCAACGTTTTAGAGGATTATGGGTCGAGTTTGCTATTTAAAAAATATCATGGGGGTTTTCACTATTTGAAATAT